AATTGCGATTGGGCCATGTGTAGTAATCTTTAAATTGATCTCCGTTCAATTGAAAATGACAGATTATTTACAGGATTCCAGGGCCATGTGAACATGTCTTACTTTGTTTTTGAAAAAAAATATCTTTCTAAATTATTGTGCAAAATAATTTTTAGGGCCATGCAGTGTAGAGATCTTATATTCCTCGGTTCTGTATAAATTTCTCCAATAGCCGAGTGTGTATTTTCTTGAAAACTGCTTGTGCATTCATCCTGTCTTGAGTGCGAATCATTGTGCTAAATTAGGGACATGTATAAAAATATCAAAAGCTATTTTGAAGCTTGAAAAAGCTTTATTGTTGGCTCTACGATTTTTGTATAAACTCTGTGTATTCCTCATCTGTTGTAACTTCACTGTGGTTCATGAAGTCAAATGCCCTATATATAGGGCAATGTTTAAAAATATACTTTATTTGTCTGTGTGACAATAATTTTCTTTGAGATCTATTGTTAAAAAAAATGCTCTACATGTATATAGGGCCATATCTTACAGATTCCTAGAAACATGTAACGGTCGTGAAATGTATAATCAGAATGATATGGTTTCAACGATTCTGCGATAATTTTGCGACATGAAATAGTCTCTGATCCTTGTCGTTATGTGTCCTAAGGACATTACATTATTGTTTGTTATTTCGAAATGAGCACTAGCGCGCTCTCGGCTCAATTGAAAATGACTTTGAAATTATCTTTTTTTTCAAAGGCAAAAATCTTCCACGGTAAAATAAATCCTTGAGAAATTCTAGGAGCGGAACCGTGAAATCGAAAAAAAACCCACGTTTTGTTCGATAAGGTGATGGATATCGACCTGCGGGTATATTAAAACGGGAAATGTATCGTTAGTTAACGATTACGAGTTCGCGTTGAGTTCGAGTGCGAACTAAGTTGGTGTCAATCATTACATTTTGTCAATCATTTCGTTTCTGCCCCAAGCCCAATTTTTCTTTCGTTATTTTGTGTAGTTTAATGTGACATATTATTTACAGGATTCCAGGGCCATGTGAACATGTCTTACTTTGTTTTTGTAAAAAAAAAATTCTAAATTATTATGCAAAATAATTTTAGGGCCATGTGGTGCAGTGTAGAGATCTTATATTCCTCCGTTCTGAATAAATTTCTCCAATAGCCGAATGTTTATTTTTTGAAAACTGTTTGCGCATTCAGATCATCCCGTCTTGAGTGCGAATCAGTGTGTAAAATACTCTAGGGACATGTATTAAGTATCAATAGATGTTTTGAAGCTTGACCCTCCTGCTATTTAAGAGGTCACAAATGGTCAAAATTTCCTTCCTCACCTCCTGGCATACTGTTAACAAACCAATGGATGTCTTGACCAATATTGACCCAAGAAATAACATGGCTCAGAATGCTTGTTTTCAAGCACTTATGTTGGATCTATTATAAGTTTTCTTGTATATACTGTGTACATATTCCTCCCTTTTGTAACTTCACTGTGGTTCATGAAGTGAAATACCCTATAGGGTCATGTTTAAAAATCTACTTTATTTGTATGTGTGACAACAATTTTCTTGGAGATCTAATATTCTACATGTACATAGGGCCATGTGCAGATCTGACAGATTCCTAGAAACATGTAACGGTCGTGAAACGTAACGATTCCGCGATTATTTTGCGACATGAAATAGTAAATTATTATGCAAAATGATTTTAGGGCCATGTGGTACAGTGTACAGATCTTATATTCCTCGGTTCTTAATACATTTCTCCAATAGCCGAATGTTTATTTTTTGAAAACTGTAACGGTCGTGAAACGTAATCAGTATGATAGTTTCAACGATTCCGCGATTATTTTGCGACATGAAGTAGTAAATTATTATGCAAAATGATTTTAGGGCCATGTGATGCAGTGTAAAGATCTTATATTCCTCGGTTCTTAATACATTTCTCCAATAGCCGAATGTTTATTTTTTGAAAACTGTTTGTACATTCAGATCATCCCGTCTTGAGTGCGAATCATTGTGTCAAATACTCAAGGGACATATAATTATTAAGTATTAAATAGATATTTTGAAGCTTAGAAAAGCACTAATGTTGGATCTAAGTTTTCTTGTATATATATACTGTGTACATATTCCTCCCTGTTGTAACTTGACTGTGGTTCATGAAGTGAAATGCCCCAAAGGGCCTTGTTAAAAATCTACTTTATTTGTAAGTGTGACAACAATTGTCTTGGAGATCTAATGCTCTACATGTATATAGGGCCATATGCAGATCTAACAGGTCCCTAGAAACATGTAACGGTCGTGAAACGTAATCAGAATGATGGTTTCAACGATTCCGCGATTATTTTGCGACATGAAATAGTAAATTATTATGCAAAATGATTTTAGGGCCATGTGGTGCAGTGTACAGATCTTATATTCCTCGGTTCTTAATACATTTCTCCAATAGCCGAATGTTTATTTTTTGAAAACTGTAACGGTCGTGAAACGTAATCAGTATGATAGTTTCAACGATTCCGCGATTATTTTGCGACATGAAGTAGTAAATTATTATGCAAAATGATTTTAAGGGCCATGTGATGCAGTGTAAAGATCTTATATTCCTCGGTTCTTAATACATTTCTCCAATAGCCGAATGTTTATTTTTTGAAAACTGTTTGAGCACTCAGATCATCCCGTCTTGAGTGCGAATCAGTGTGTAAAATACTCAAGGGACAAATAATTATTAAGTATCAATAGATATTTTGAAGCTTAAAAAAGCACTAATGTTGGATCTAAGTTTTTTTGTATGTGTACATATTCCTCCCTGTTGTAACTTGACTGTGGTTCATGAAGTGAAATACCCCAAAGGGCCTTGTTAAAAATCTATTTTATTTGTATGTGTGACAACAATTGTCTTGGAGATCTAATGCTCTACATGTACATAGGGCCATGTGCAGATCTGACAGATTCCTAGAAACATGATATGGTTTCAACGATTCCGCGATTATTTTGCGACATGAAATAGTCTCTGATCCTTGTCGAAATGTGTCTTATGGACATTATTGTTTGTGACATAAATGTGTCTTATGGACATTATTGTTTGTGATTTCGAAATGAGTACTAGCGCGCTCTCGGTTCGATTAAAAATGACTTTGAAAAAAAGATAACATGTATGAATTAAAAGGCAAAAATCTGCCACGGTAAAATAAATCATTGAGGAGAAATTCTAGGAGCGGAACCGTGAAATCGAAAAAAAAACGTTTTGTTCGATAAGATGATGGATATCGACTTGCGGGTATATTAAAACAGGAAATGTATCGTTCGTTATCGATTACGAGTTCGGGTTGAGTTCGAGTGCAAACAAAGTTGGTGTCAATCATTAAATTTCGTCAAGCATTTGTCCGATTTGTGTATAGGAAGATAATAAGACGATGGTTGTACGGGTATGGATTAAAACAATAAATGTATCGTTCGTTCACGATTGCGAGTTCGTGTTGAGTTCGAGTGCAAACAAAGTTGGTGTCAATCAAGTACTTAAAACTGCTAAACCACGTAGCACCTGCTATATATAGGAAGTATTTTATGTGTAGTAAATCGTTCTGCTTCTCTTCCAATTTGCAATGTCTTTTGGTTTAATCTTGCACAATAATGTATCCTGCTTGACATTTTCAAGACAATGATTGTGAGATGAACTGTGTCATGTTTGTACGGAATATTTCTTTCCGTTTATAACAATTCGTGTTAGATATTTAGGGCCATGTGTACGAATCAAACGTTTTGAAATTCAAGTCGCGTCTATTTTGCATTTTCTCGTCCTTACATTGATTCTCATTGTGAAACAAATCCTATAAGGCCATGTGTGTAAAACTTTTATCGCTGTTTTTGTAGAGATTTCTGCCGAACTTGAGTTATATTCTGTACTTATATGACAGATTATTTACAGGATTCCCAGGGCCATGTGAACATGTCTTACTTACTTTGTTTTTGTAAAAATCGTTCGTGATTATTATGCAAAATTGTTTTAGGGCCATGGTGCAATGTAGAGATCTTATAATATTCCTCCGTTCTGTATAAATTTCTCCAGTAGCTGCACGTGTATTTTCTTGAAACCTGTGTGTACATTCATCCCGTTTTGAGTGCGAATCTTTGTGTTCAATCTAAGTAATCTTTCATATAGGCTTATACTTTGTGTATTCTTCACCAGTTGTAACTTCGATGTGGTTCATGAAGTGAAATACTCTATAGGGCCATGTTTAAAAATCGACTTTATTTGTCAATGTGACAATTTTTTTTCTTGGAGATCTATTGTTTAAAAAATGCTCTACGTGTATATAGGGCCATGTGCAGATATAACAGTGTTCGTGTTCGGGCTGAAATGTGAATAAATTTATTCACAGTTCGAGTTCGGACTGCAAGAAAGATTACGACTTCGTTTAGAGTTCGAGTGCGAAAAAAATTAATTAGTACAAGTTGTTGGTAGACGATTATGTACACGAGTACAAGTACTTAAAACAACGTAGCACCTGTTATCTCGGAAGGATTTTGATTTCGAAATCATGGTGGGGCCATGTGTAGTAAATCGTTCTGCCTCCTCCAAGTTCGCAACATCTGCACAGTTTGGTTTAATCTTGCGCAATAATGTCTCCTGCTTGATATTTTAAAGACAATGATTGTGAGATGTATTGTGTCATGTTTGTACGGAATATTTCTGTTCCGTTTATAACAATTCGTGTTAGATATTTAGGGCCATGTGTACGAATCAAACTTTTTAAAATTCCAGTCGCGTCTATGCATTTTCTCGTCGTTCTACATTGATTCTCATTGTAAAGCAAATCCTAGGGCCATGTGTGTAAAACTTTTATCGCCGTTTTGTAGAGGATTCTGCCCCAAACCCAATTTTTCTTGCGTTATTTTCTGTTCTTGTATGACGGATTATTTACAGGATTCCAGGGCCATGTGAACATGTCTTACTTTGTTTTTGTAAACAAAATCCTTCTTAATTATTATGCAAAATAATTGTAGGGCCATGTGGTGCAGTGTAGAGATCTTATACTCTCCGTTCGGTGTAAATTTCTCCAATAGCCGAATGCGTATTTTCTTAAAAACTGCTCAATGTGCATTCATCCTGTCTTGAGTGCGAATCATTGTGTAAGAACACTCTAGTGATATGTGTTAAATATCAATAACTATTTTAAAGCTTAAAAAGCTGTAACTTTTTGTGTTGGATCTCAGTTTTTGTTGTATATACTCTGTGTATTCCTCACCTGTTGTAACTTCACCGTGGTTCATGAAGTGAAATACTCTAGGACCATGTTTAAAAATCTACTTTACTTGTCGTAGATCTTCGAGATCTATTGTTTAAAAATGCTCTACGTGTATAGGGCCATATGCATGCGCAGATTTTACAGGTTCCTTGAAACATGTAATGTAATCAGAATGGTGGCTTCAACGATTCCACGATTATTTTGCGACATGAAAATCTCTGATGTGAATGTTGTTTCCCTTTGAACCGATGCGCGTTGCTGTGTCCCTACTGGAATTATCATCTTCGCGCCAGTAGACCAAATTATCTGTTTATAATAAATAAACTAAACTTTTTTTTTTCTCAACGGTTGAATCCTTTACAGCGGTCAGGTAAGGGCCACTAATTTGATTATCTTCACCGTTTGTATTTATTTCTTATTTCAACTGGGTAGCCCATTTCAGTGGAATCCACTGGTCTCCCATGGACCCCATGGGGCCTAGAGATCTAAGTAGTGTAGACCTAAATTAAATTTCCTTTTTCTATGATTGTGTCTTTATAGTGGTCAGGTAAGGACCATTAATATACGTTTTCCTTCTCTTTATAACACAGCAACGGTCACAAACCACTGTACATTGTTGTAACATAACCTAGCTCCGCTAGGAATACTTCTTTTCTTTTCAGCAACTTGCAATTTGATAAGAAGGACCAGCAAGCTAGAGTGCTCATGTCAGGAGCTGATGACACGGAGGAGCCGGAAGCAGGGAGGAGGAACAACGGATGACTGACGACCCTGCTTGTCGGGCAACCCATTACTGATTTCTCAGGTTAAAAAACCGTTATTTTCCTTTCAAAAAATGTCTTAGGATGTTTCAAGTTGTTCTGCTTGTTGTGTCTGCGATTAATTAATGATAGCTTATTTGGGAAAAAAAAACCGATAAATCTAGAGGAAAATAATTTAATGTGAAATGATAATCACTGTAACAACTTCACAAATCCACAAATAAAAAAAAATGAGCAACAGGCGCATAATAATTGTCCAGCACCCATTCTTACATTGTGTTCCTTCTAATCTTCTAGCAGAGATGACGGTCTGCAGGATGAGGTGCCATTCTGGACGAAGATACGATCACTTTTGAATCCCAAGGAACCGGAAGCAGGGAGGAGGACCGACGGAAGGACCGATGACCTGCTTGCAGAGCAAGTCTTCACCAATTCTTGAGGTAATTTAGCAAAAGGGTTTTCATATTTTATTCATTTTCAATTTTTGTCTTAGTCTTCGGGAAGAAGCATATCATCTTTTTTTCTTTACATATCTTCTCAATCCGATATGTTTGGGCGGTTGTATTCGAATTGGAAATAATTGGAGATCATTATTTTTTTGAGGTGAACTCGAAAAAACAGACCGCTTTTATGATACAGCGCCCTCTATCGATTAGTCACGTTTGATTAGCATGGGTACGTTGACCACCTGATGCGTGAAAGAATACAACAACGTCTAGGAGCCAAACTTCTCGTACCGTAGGCATAGTTGCAGTGTAAACCATTTGGCGGATTTCTTGCTGATTCGTTGGCTGAATTCGAAGCTAGAAAAACACTATTTCCAATCATGGTATGTCAGTAGTGTCGCATTTGTTAGCGTTGACAAATGGTTGATTAAAATGTATTATGCATTTTTGACGTTGTGGATTGCTTAAAATAAATCAGTGAATTAAATCAGTTTATTCATGTCAAATGTCATTTGGGAACATTCAATCATGATGTGTAGCCCACTGTCATGACTGTGGCCGCGATATTGCTGCGCTGTATCTCTGGCCACACGCCAGGTTCTCACCCACTTACTAGCTTGAGTAACTCCAGCTGACATGCTCCATATTCATTCATGTGAATGAATATGGAGCATGTCAGCTGGAGTTACTCAAGCTAGCCCACTACCATGACTACTGAGGAGTTTCTCAAAAAATTACGCAAAGTTTCTTACAATTGGTTGTTTCTATGATGTCTCAGCTGTTCACTTCTGGGATGCTTAGGTGTAATATTATTTTTTATAGTAATAATAATATCCAATTTTCGGAGAAATTTTTGAATCTTTCTGGAGCCCATACACTGCCATATCATGTGCACGAAAATCGTCTGTTGATGGCAATTGGCAGCCATTTTGAATGTAAGAAGCGATGACCCCAAAGCTGTGACATTGCGCTTAGTTATGCAAATTGATTTTGTCGCTCAGGCGCGCAAGGGGGGGGGGGGGAGGATGTTGGCTGGTTTTGTTTGTTTTTTTTAGTTTTCTTTGTTGTTTTCTTTGTTATTTTGTGTGTGTTTGTGTGGGGGGGGGGGGGGGTTGGCTTCATTTTGTTCGTTTAATAATGGAACCCGTTCACAGTTTAATTGGCACAATCTTGGCGCAATTTATGGTGCATAGCGAATTGAGCCACTTGAGCTGACGAGCCATGACCACACTCGTACTCACAAGCGCTAGCGCTGCACTTTGCGTCACTATCCCCTGGCCAAGATGGCACCTTTAACCATTAACCAGTGTATTGGCATCAGCATTATATATCTGGATCTGAAATGCTTCTTTGTGTTTTGTCTTCATATAACCAGGCCAGTCAGTTAGGAGTGAACGACCATCATCAGGAGTCATTGGTCAATTATATGCGATTCAGTCGCTATAAACGCAGTCAGAATCTCCGTGGAGTTGAGGGATGTTTCCAAGACCTGAAGGATAGCAGGTAAATCCCAAGCATTGTGAAACAGACCTGAAGTGTAAAACCAAGTAAAAAAAAATATATTTCTAGCCTGGCTTTTTTTTTTAAAAGGAAGGAAGTCCTTTTCCCCCAAGGGTGGATTTTCCAAGAAGGTGGATGGCTTCTTGGATTTTCTCAACTCTTCTGCTGATGCTTTTGTATCCAAAGGCGCATACAAAAACCTGCGTATTTAGACAATGCTGTCTAGTTTTCTAGGCTTACATGTACTTCATACTGCAACACCTTGTTAGTAAACTTTGACAGTCTTTGAAAAAGGACTTCAATGCTGACCTTTATTTTGTTGACTTAGCAGTCGAAAACAGTCATTCATTCTCATATAAGCTAACCACAACTCACATACAGCATCACCTTTTTGATAGGATTCTTGTCTCATTATAGATTGACTGAGGATACATTCACTGCGGATGAAGTCACTGACATGCTGGACGGCTTAGAGGCTGTAGTCAGGGGAGAGGTCGAGTCTGAATTAATCAACACTGCTCACACTAACGTCCTGCTGCTGCGGCAGCTCTTCCAGCAAGCTGAGAAATGGCACCTCAAACTGATAGCTGACATATCTGAACTTGAAAACAGGTATTGCAGAGTTAGAAAGGCAGGACCTTATTTCATGGCTCCACTAACCGTAGTATTCTGTGCTTGCCTTACTGTGTTTGTGCTTTAATAATCTGTGGGTTAAACTTCTTGTTACATTTTGAAATATGCTATTACATTATAAGTGCAAAAATAATTTGCTGCAGTTCTTGTTTGGAAACAGATTTTTGAAAGTGAAAAATAATTTGCTGCAGTTCTTGTTTGGAAACAGATTTTTGAAAGTGAACATCTCACTTGCACTGAATGTTGGCACTGACACTTTTTGACAATGATCAAATGTTAGATGTTTCTAAAATTGCTCTTGTTTTTTGGCTAACATAAAAATCACAACTAAATTGAAACAAACAAGTGACTCAATGTAGTGGTTTGCAACATCTAGTGCTTTAACAAATTACCTTTTTTCATCGAGTGTCATACTTTATTCCCCTGTTAACAAAAATCATATTTTTTGTTCCAGAGAGCTCATAGAAATGATCGCAGATTTTGAGGAAAGCCAATTCTCTGGAAAAGCTGTGAGTACGCTTGCTTTTTATTTAGTAAACATTTTAATTGGAGACTAGTACTCTCCGCTAATAATATATTTATCTCTTACATCAAAGGCTGTATACACTTGTACTGCTTTTTTACACAGTGTCTAAGTTTAAAATATTACTTCCACTGGGAAAAAAAAAAAAAAATGATTGAATCAGTATGTAAAGTTTAAATATTCTGATAGGTTTTTATTATTGGAATCTTGTTAGTGTGCTTAAATAGGTTATTTTTTATTGATTATGTATTTCAATTGTATTTTTTTTTCATAAATCAAGACAATGAAACAAGAGTCAGAAAGCAAGATTAGCAATTTTATATGTAAACCTTTATCAAATTAGCCTTTTTTTTAAATGATGATATAGATGACAGGGAAGCCCACATTTGAGATGAAACGTCTTGACCCAATGGCCGGGGAGGGAGAACAACTCCTGCATGCTGAGATAGCGAGGTTGAGTGAGGAAAATAAGAAGATGAAGGAGCGCCTCAAGCAAGTTGAAGCCAGGGTGAGTGTCAGAGAAGCAATAATTCAGTCTACTAAATACTCACCACAACAAACATTTGTTAAAATAATCATCATCTGATTGACATAACATGCCAGGAGGGTAATTTGGGGTAGTTTGTTAAGACTGACAAAATTTTATTAATGAGATAGAGGTTTTGGTGGCATTCCAAACTTGATTCTGTTTTTTTTCCTCCTTTTTCCCCTCGGCCCCAAAAATACAAATTGTCTACATTAACTGGCTACTATTACTGAAAATCAGACTGTGATATAAATGAGTATATTGTGATGATGTTTTGCATTGCAAAGGGAATGATCAGTTTAAAGTCTTGAAGACAAATTGATTAATCTGGAATAAGTAATGTACATTTCAAGGTGCACCTAATGTTTATGTGCCAGAAAAAAACCTTGCATAATCAGTTGAAATTTGATGTTGTATGTAACACATTAATGTATTAGCAATTTGTTTCCACTGTTAAGGCCACCGGTGCACTAGAAGAACGTTCTCGCATGGCGGCTGATCTACACAGTACTCAGGATGAGTTGGGCAATCTCAGATCACGCAAGCCAGTCAAGGACTCGGGAGATTTGTCTGAGCTGGAGAATCAGATGTCGGCTGTCAAGTCTCAAATGGAGAAGGTAAGACAACTCCAGACTGTTGATGAGGCAGAGTTGTAATCATGTAAAGCACAAGGCAATCACAAGTCAAATAACAAGTCAGTTACAAGAAACAGGGGAGAAGTAATGACATTGTAGTTCATTTAACTAGCATGTCACTTGATTGACTTGTGATTGAGTTGTGACTGACTTTCAATTGACTAGTGATGACTCGATTATTACAACTCTCTTGTAGCAAACATTCCAAGACCAAACATTAAGAAAAGTTTTAAGAAAAACAGATCTCTCTATACAAATCTGAACAAAGCTGCAGTTTAATTGCCCAATGATTTTATGGCTCATAAATCTTTTGAAAAGGCCATCCTACTCAGAGTACTCACAGTGTGTAATAGCTATAATGACACACCAGCATCAGGCAGTTACCCTGTAGTTGTAGACTCGTTTGTCTTAGCCTTTACAGAATTCTTTGCTAACCCTAAACCCTCCAGGGGCTTCAAATGTAGGTTTAAAACCAAAGGACATTTCATTGCTTGCTTTGTAGAATCTGCAGCTGAGTTCCCAGAAGGCCGATACTCTTGAAGGTGACTTGGTTCAAACTAAACACAAGCTATTGGAGATGCAAGAACAGCTGGAGATGACTGAGAAGGTATGGCTGCGTCTCAACTAGTTGGCTTATATGTCTATGGAAGCGGCTAAAGCCACTGCTCATAGATGCATGTGTTACTCCTGTTGGTTAATTACTTGGCTGCGGCTGGCAATTACACGCGTCTATGAAAGCAGCTGAAGCGGCTTCCCATAGACCTGTGTAAAACTGCTAGCAAGAGCCAAACAAAAGTAATACGGATGCGGCTTAAGTTACATTTGCTCTATGGACTCCTCCCAGGAACATAGAGGGCGCTTTTTAGCCAACTCGTGAGTGCCAATGACGACATAATGTTCACACTTGGGGATGTTTCAATGCAGCTTAGGCCAAGTTCGCGCAAGGACTATAGTTGACCAATGGTTAACTAACGTTTGCCCGAACTCTGTCTAGTCGACGGTGGTTGACTACGCTAGTCCACTATTTGGAACCAGCCTACTGGGGTTGGTTGCTTCGCTGGTAACCAATAGCCGCGTGCATTCATAACGCTAGCAGAGAGCCAGGATCCAGAAATTTTACGATGACATTTTGACCAGCGTTTGACTAGAGACGTTCGCACGTTGCTATCAGTGCGCAGGCGTAAGGTACGTCACAAATCAACCACTAGTCGACTAATGGTCCTTGCCCGAACTTGGCCAGAGTAGCCACAACTTGATAGTGCACATGTCTGTCTCCCAGTCTTCATGCTTTGTTGTGTTTTTTGTTTTGTGAAATTTGTTTTTGGTGAATTTTCTTTCAAAACTGAAATTCACCATTGATTTACTTAGGTTGCCCTTGAAGGCTTCTGTCATTTGTGCTGCTGTATTTTGATATTTGTTCTTGCGTGTTTCTTCATTTTGTTGTATTTTGTGTATTGTTGAATTTTTGTGTATTTTAATCTCAAAATGGCTTTTTTTACTTCTAGGAATTGGAGAAGAAGTTTAGTCAGACAGGAGCCTACAAGAACCTCAAGTCCATGTTGTCAAAGAAGAATGATCAGATCAAAGAACTCCGGTCACGACTAAGAACATATGAACCTGATGACTAGAAACGATGTATGACACAGCTCAGAGCATTGCGTGCTATTGTTGTAATCAAATCCATCTCAAGTCTTTACAAGTCCATCACATGTTCTTCACATGTCAATCACATGTCAATCACAAATCAGTCACAAGTCCATCACAAGTCAATCACATGTCCATCGCATGTCATCCTCACAAGCACATGACTTTGTTATTGTTCATCCCCTGTTACTTGTGATCAGAATTGTGACGGACTTGTGATGGCTTGTGATGACTATGATAACTTGTGATTTCTTGTGATGGACTCGAATACAACAAGTCTCCCCTTGACACAGTGTTATCCGGTTCGTTAGTAAAAACGTCATACACGTGCGCGCACCACTGATACTAGCGCCCATTGGATAAACACTCCAGTTGCGTTAACTTCCGGTACCAATGGTTCCAACGCTACTTAATGGCAGTGGGCGTGGTTTAAACTGCAGTGACGTCTCACAAACGAACCGGATAGCCAAGTCCTCTCAAGTCCATCTCAAGTCATCTTGTGTTGAGTCAAGTCACGAGTTGTTTAAATGATCTGTGACAAGAGCCTTCCGTTGTAATTTTTTATTCCGTTACTTGTGCTGGACTTGTGATTGGACTTGTAATGGTCTCAACTAGAACACAGCTGCCAATCAGGTTTAACAATGTCATTTCATAGTCTTTTAAATGGGAATGTAGAACATTTGCTTTTGGTGCAATTTTCAGAAATAAATGGATTTGGAAGATTAGTATGTTATAGCAGCTATTGTTAAACTGACTTGTTTCACGTTTTGGGCTTGTAGATGGTGGAAAAACCAAGAAAACCAATCATTTTCTTGTAGTCTGGTTCCCTGACCCCACTTAAGATGAAGCGGAGCAATTTATAAACTTTGGGGAATTGTAAGGTCAGAGAATCAGTCTAGCAGGCTTGTACCCCTTACTGTTGTGTAATCAATCGCAAAGAAAATGTGGAATAACTAAATATGAAAATTTAGGAGCAATTTTCCAAAAAAAAATGCCAGTTTTCTCCAATGCTGGTCGGCCGACCAGCGTTGGAAAAATACAGTTTTTCTCGAAAATGTCAGCACACCAGGAGCCACGATTTTACAGGATGCTTTAGACTGTCATTCCCTAACAATCCAGTAAGGTATTTCGTGATAATTTGACCACTTCATTTTTTGATGTTTGCAAATGTGGTATCTTCCCTTTAAACCTGCCACTATCATATAGTCCATTATAATGAAAGCTTCATCAGGGTAATCCAAGGGACTCGCGTTACAGAAAGCTGTCATTGGAGATTCAGATTGCACTGGAAAATGGTAAAATAATTGCAATTGTTAGAATGGGAGACGCTTGGTGGCCGGCAGCAAACACACTGGTCCTTTTCAATTGTTTACTTCATTTTAAAAACATGCTCGCATTAGCTGCCTTAAACATGACATAACAATTGAAAAGGAGTTTGTTTGCTGGCACCAAGCACCTTAAAAGTCTCCCATTGTACAAATCAGAGCAATTATCCTGTAATTCATTTATTTCTCAATGGATTCATTAGAAAATAATGGATTTTTTCTCTCAATTTGAATTTTGAGTTCTGTACACATTTTTGTTAAGTTTATTTTAGACAACAGGAAGGTTTATAGCCCGGTGGTAAATTAAAGGATACTTATGACATCTGTGTTTAAGTTCCAGTTAGATTTATTTATTTGTTGAATGCATACAGTATGCAGTTATTGGAGATATTGATCGGCTGCTTATTCGTAGGTGTTTAAGTAAATAAGAAGGGTGTGTCAGCTCAACAAACATATTTTAGGGAAGAAGCAATACACAACATCCAATTGCCAAGAACGGGAAATGCCACAAAAAAAACCCAAAAATAATACAAAAACGCAGTGGTAAAGTACAACAAAAATTCTATGAAAATACAAATGTATATGAAAACATTCCACCTTGGTCCAAACACAAAACCAATATAGCCCAATTGATTTGAATTGTCTACTTAGCTTGCAGAGATGTGTATTTGCTTAGTAACAATCAGAGACTTAAATTAACTTTCATTAATATGTCTTTGAATTTTATAGTTAAAGAGAGACAAGTATTCAACAGTTTCAGACAGGGCTGTCAGTTGTGACCAAAGAATTATATCTGAAATTATTATAACAGTTTGGTATTTTTAATATGAAATCACAAGAATATAGTGAATGGATGTTATGTAGTTCACATCTGTGATGTGTAATACAACCAATACAACTCTTTGCCAATAGTGAGCCACTGTGTCCGCTAGCAATGGCAACTTGCAAATTTTCAGGACTAATTTCATCAAAGGCCACTGCTTAGCAAAGAGTTCAGATTCACCAACTAAAACAATTTTAAATTAATAGGTAATCAGTAATGAATCATACATAATGTGCCTTTTCTGTAAATTCAAAGTCTGTGACTTATCCCACCACCTGCTTAATTTAATTGTAACAATTAATAGACTGAACAAATAGGTCCCCTTACACTACCACCTGTTGAAACACTCATTAACTTTAACATGTTCCAACATGTACTTTTTAAAATGGCTATTTACCTTGTTGCAGTACTTTGTGGGTATCGTGTTATATAGTTGAGGCGTTATATACAGTACATGCAAAGTTAATGGCTATATCTACTTAAGCTAGAATATACTTAAATAGTTTGTAAATTTTTGTCAAATTACTAAACTGAATAAATGTATGTATTTTGTTTAGTCAGTTCACTCATTGGCGCTGTTTGTTTGTTCCATTGAGTCGTAGGCTAGGCCGGCCTTCATGATATGAAAGTCGGGATCAAAGTTGAGAGCACTAGCTCGATAATTTTACTTTCCCTATAATTACGTTTCCTAAAATGGTTGTGAATGTTTTTAAAGTTCTACGTGAACGCAAAGAAAAAGTGACTGAAAAAGTTTTAAGCTACATCGGCCGGCGGCTCCTTTCTCCGATAAAATTCACTGTTTTTCTGCCGCCCGTTTGTTTTTCATACTTCTTTTCGGGCCTCATTGTCAAAATAAAAGCAGCTGATTTTTATGCCGAATTAAAATCAAGAATATTAATTGGCGAAGTCTTCTGTACCGGGGGGGGGGGGGGGCCTCCCACGAAACGCTAACCACTTTTCGTCCTTGGGGCGCCGGGACTCTATTTGACAATATCTGGGCAAAAATGGGATCCGCCTGATAAGTTTTTGTTGGTGGTGTTTTTTTTGGGGGGGGGGGGGTTTGGACCGAATATTTTCTTTTGGTCGCTTGTAAAAAGAAAATGATCCAAAGCGAGGAGGCCGCGCGCCGCGCGCTATATCGCGGTTGAGGTCAGTGCTGGCGTTTTCATTTAAAAAAAAAAAGGACAAAAGTGTCTGAGTTCCAGTAATTATGCATGAATTTGAGACTGGCCTCCCAAGATATCCTTGAATCTCTGATTATAACTGCTAAAACGGAACCCGTATATAATTGGAATAACGTGATTCATGGTTAAAAATGGACTGTTAGGAGTGATGATATTCAGAACCCGCCTACTGGGTATTGTTTTTCCAATCAACACACACACTCGAAAGGATAACGAGAAGAAACTGCAAATTCACTGAACTAGTAGAAAAGTGGCGCTGCTGCAGTAGCGTGTTTAGCATTTGTTGTTTTTCAGTTGATTTAAAAGCAGCTTGTTGTAAAATAGCCGAAGTGGAGCTCAACTCCGATCCGCGGAGCTGAGCTAGGCGGATGAAAAGTACATGAAGTACCGATCGCCTCTCGTGCGCAGCGCCCTCTTTTACTTGCGTGGGCAATAATAATTCCTCGCAACTACGATATGGTTCCTGCCTCTGAAATATCCGTACACGTACCGCTGTACGTTTTTCGTGCACAACATTTGGTTCCGGTCACCAGACTACAGGAAATATGCGCCATAGTATTTTGTGATTCAACCAACGATGACGGAAGAATTCGTCACAAATTACGACCATTTCCCAATGTTGGACCGTTGAGTTTTGGGAAGAAATGTGATTATTCTTCATTCTACAAGGGTACGTTTGGACTGTGTTATTTCTTTGGGGGAAATAGGCATATTGTATGTGACATTTTGTCCTTTTAAAATTAACATTCAACATGTTTTTGTACGTGTACGTACATCAGCACTCGGCAGTCTGGCAGTATTCATTTGTATTGTCATGTAGTTGTAGGCCATTATCCTGATTATGAAGGGAGTCCATCACGCAAAATTAGTTGGATGTGGGAAGTGATACTATTTAAGAATCACTGTATCAGCATGGCTCTCAAAATAAAACAAATGTCCTGATATAAAGAGGAATGTTGACTCCTATTTATTTTTATTAAAGCACTGCGTCAATGTAACTGCACTGCCTCTTCCAAGCTTCTCAAATAAGGCTAATGATGCTAATGTTTTGGAAGCGGATAGGATAAGTAATTTTAAGGTGAAAAATGGGGGGAAAATGACAATGATTACATGGATTACAAAATCTTGAGAAGATTCTACATGTACACGTATAGGAAAAAAAAGACAGCGACAAGGTCCTAGGACTTGGATTTGGAAGCGTGTCACTGTTTTAAAATTGGTGTTCAGTCGTGGGGTGACACACGTACAACTGGGATTTAACAAACAGAACAGTTGAGGTATTCTGCTTGAAAGATATCTCTGATTATCAGATAAATATAGGTATGTGTTTAAAAATATTCTTTGATTGATTAAAACTAACACCATGTTAGGAGAAAACTTAAATGAATTTAGTAAACAAATCAAAAGAAATATCAAAGTTTAGCCAAATAAAAACAAGATATCCACAATTTATTTTTAGTAACCTGCAGATGATCAACATTTGATTCTGCGTCATTGCAGCTAACTTTTCAAGTTTCCTTAGCAACGCATCTTGACGTCGCCATGGAGTTTTACTCTAGCAACCCAGTCATGGCAGTGGCATCGTGTCTGCCAGATAGTGGAGGCGTTGAAGCCCAGGTACTAGACCGAGGCAGTCAGTCGGGCCCATGCTCTACTAGCGAGACAAGAGAGGGCGCTGTTATGGAGTCTGAAGCAGGTGAGAACACATTCTTGTCATCTTTCATCAAGGTTTAAGAAGCGCTTCACATATTGAATCACTTAGAATGCTCTTACCTTGCACGAGCCAAATGTTATTCTGCACCTACCATCACCATTCTGTACTGACCCGTAAGCACAGAATCGTTAATAACTGGATGTTCACATGGGAAGGAATGTCGCAACTTGATGCCAATGTTTTCTCCATTTTAATTCAATAAAGGTCAGTCATTGCAAAATTGTCGAAAAGACATGAATCTGGGACTGAGAAACATTTCCAATTTTGCTACGAAATAGTAAGATAGTTTCCTTGACTTTCTATAGACTTTGTGCACAACCGCCGAAGTGGCGTCTGGATACTACATTCTTTCCGTACACATGTGCACAAGCCAAAATTCCTTGCTAACCTAAATGCCAGGCATCCAACTTTTCCTCGGATCCGCTGATTTCCTCGTTTTTTACTTCTCATGAATGCCATTGCAAATTGAAAAACAGTGTACAAAATGTGTGGTTTGGAGTTTCCTCGTTTTTTTCTAAATTCCCAGTTGCAAGCCTGAAATGCTGTTGGCACAAAATTGAATGCAGGTATTCTTGCGTAGGTTAAGTAAGCAGAGGCATGGAATCGGGCACTTGCCTACGTGGGAATACATCACATACATGTTATTTACAATGCCCATGCATACGTGCATGTACTTAAAAATTGTCCATTTTTTGTGATAAAAAAATATACATGCATATTATATGCTTGTCCCCTATTTTCACACAGTAGGGGTATGAGAATGTTACATGTAAAAGTGCGAAAAGACTTTTCATGTCTAAATGTGTAAGTGTACAGTGTATCTTTTTTTTTGGAGAAAAATGTGGAGAATAATGTATTTGTTCTCAAAATATAATTAACAATAATAAACGTAAATGATTTGCTCTATTACAGGTGTTCTTGAAACGGACGATAGTCTAGATCTATGTAGTCCTCATAATGAAGATGAAGGGCTAGACATTTCTCCTGTCATGTCAGAACCTTTAGTCCACCCGCCCCAGTCTGTGCCATCCCATCTCATAGAGGGACACCTGAGAGAAATTGAGCAGGTTGCTGAGAGTGCCGTGGCATGCCAGATATTCTCTGACCCGGGCTCCAGCCGTCTTCGTTACAGGGAAGGTCAGCCCAAGCCTAGTGAGGTTGTTTGTCTTGGTGCCACAGCTGCTGCTGCTTCAGATTCACCTGTGGTCATATCAGACAGTGGTGATTACAACATGATGTCAGTGGGCAACTCACCGGTGCCTCCTCTGGAGAGCGAGAGCTACAGTGATTACTCTGACGAGCCCATCCCAGGTTTGGTCTCCATGCGACATTATAAGCCATTCAAACCCAAGATACTAAACAGTAGTGGTGACGGAATGCTGAGTTCAGCAAGCGGAGATTCCGATCTTGACAGGTTAAGCAGTCACTCCATCAGTCCATCAGGAGCCTGGCTACCTCAAGGCACAGATGCGCATCCCGGACCCTCAGAAGGACAGGGATTCCAACCATACCGCAGGCAACATCCAATCGTCCTCTCTAACAAGAAACCACGACTTCACAGCAACTCGGGCCCCAGCTCCTCTTCCTTCAGCGTGAGTGAGAACTCGGCCTTCGAGGCCCGCAGTCACCTCTTTCCAAACACCAAGGAGGACACCGAAGCACACCGCAGGTTATCCAGCGACCACCATGCCTTACCCTATGATCCTGCTGAACCTGAGCTAGTAGACATTGACCTTACTGTCAGAGACAGAGATTCATTAGATCTGGAGGATCAAGAGGATCCATGGGCCAGTCCAGGTACCAGTCTCTCAGTTGCTCACGGTTCAGCCACGCCTACCTTCTCCAGCACTGACACTGGCCCCGCCCCTAGCTGTGCAGACTACTCAGACTCCGACATCGATGTGGTTAGCGTGGATGAATTTGATGTATCTGGCCACGGTAATAATCCTTCCATCAGTAGAGATGTGGCATGGGACGATCCTCTACTACCGTTATCAGGAGCTCTAGATTTCATCCCACCCTATGATGAACCCTTGCCAGGCCCTAGTGGCATCATGAGACCCTCTAACAATGAGACGGTGGACTTGGTAGAGTCTTCCGATTCAGAGAATAGCGATGAGAGTGACGACGATCTCAATCTGGAGGAGAGTCACGATGAAGCAGATGATGACATTGAAGTGGTGTCAGTGGACATGGGTTCCAATAATGACCGGTGAGTCAACAAAGTCTATGTCTTATTCATAACTGTCTTCCCCGTTTGTCTGCAAGACATCTTACTCCCTCAATGATGATAAACTTGTGCATTTTTATTGAAGACAGAATGATGTCTGTGAAGGCTTCTTGAAGTTTAGATTATCAATAGAGCTTTCTACTTGTGTACCAATCTTGCCAACTTTGCTTGTAAATTGAAGTTGAAAACATGCAGAAGACTTTCAGACATATCCCTCCAGCATGTCCAGCTACAATCAGTGATTGAATGTTTTTGCTGAGTAATGCAGATCATTAGCCATTTGTGCTCAAAAACATTTAATTAAATCTAACACATTGTAGAAAACTAGTGGTACATAAAGTATATTTCTGGGTTGTCCTTTTCTGAATCTTTTTTGGATCTTTTCTTGAAAATTGTCTACAAAGAAGACCTTTACTTCATTTTGAATGCACAATTCAGTTTTTTGTTTTGTTTTAATCAGCTGGGGAGTTCAGTCGAATAATGCTTGCCCTAGGAAGATGAGTGGTGGCCTTAAGCATCCGTTGGTCAAAGGTCAAAGGAAGAAGCGCCCTCTATCACCCCTCATTGTGGATTTGACTGAATCCGATGGTGGTAAGTACATGTATGCAGCTGTTTGAAGGACACATATGTGAAGGACATATTGAATCATATTCTTGTGATGAGTCGTAATTACATGTACATGTATATTAGTTTAAAAGGACACATGAATGGCCCCTTTTCTCCAATAAAAATTATTGTCTGCAGACCAGTTTGGAATTTTGTTCTTGGAGATGTAATTTTGAATGTTTTGTTTTGTCCTTTACCAGTGTCATTTTCCAAGCTCTGCATTTTATTATTGTTGGTTTATTTCAAATTGAACTTGTAGCAAATGGCTAAATTGCATCAATTTTTACAATTAAAAAAAACCTTTTAAACATTAAAAGACTCAGCATTCTCAATGCTGAGTGCTTTTGAGAGAAAATACCCAAGCTGTGTAGGAACCCCAACCACATGAAAATTGAGTTCACTGATGCTGACTAACTTACTTCATTATTGAAGATTTTAACAATGGTAACATACTATTTGAGAGATCATGTTGAATTTCTCAATCAATACATGTACTTTCTCACTTTGCTAACTTCAGTGACATGTACATGTAATTTACTTGGCACCTTTGCGGACGTTATATTCATAGTTTTTATTGCAATCTTTTCAGATCTATTTTGTTGCTTATCAGTTATTGTCAATTATTTTAACAGAAGACCCATCGTCCAGCATTCCTGAGCTAGAGCCAGTTCCTGATACAAACCAAGAAGCATTGTCTGATGAAGCCAGCATCCAACCGCCACCGCCTCCATCCCAAGCTAAGCCGCTTCCCCCGTGCACCAGCTGTCGTCAGTTAAGTCCCCAGCCTGTAATCTCATCCCCAGTGACGACGACTCCTCCTCCACCTTACCACTTACCTCGTCACCACCATCACCATCACCAACACCTTCACCCTCGCCGCGCTTGCATGCACGAGGGCGCTGTTCCTGGTGCTCCACTGCTGCACCATGTTGGCTGCATCTACTCTGGTGGCCGAGCTGCCTGTGCCTGCCACTCACCAAGAACTCAGCTCCAGAGGGGGAGCCCTTCTGTCGGAGAGCACAATCACACCGGAGCCCGTGAGAGAGATCAGGATGTGCCAGCGAGGGAACAGAAGTCTTCTGCAGGGGTGAGTATGATTATAGAATGCATTGTGTGGCATCCCATCAATTTCCCACTCAGCATTTCACATATTGAAAAGTTGACACAAAAACTGGACAAATTAACTAACAAAATAAATCTTGAGCTGCCATATGCAAGTTGTTCCATTTCTTCACTGACTTTAAATAAACGTTACTCTGTGCATACCATACATTACAGCTTTGAACCCCATCTGAGATCCCTCAAAACATTTAAACTAAAATCTAACACTTTTCTGCAGACCAAGAAACCTGTATCCCTCGGAAAACAACTTCCAAGACCCAAATCCAAGGAGAAGAAAGAGACCCTTCCCCCATCTGCTGATGTGACCCCTGACCCCCAGAGGTCATCACAGGTCAGTGATCTTCACAGCTATCAGGGGCAACTCGGTCGGCGAGGTCACAGTGAGGAATGCCGTGCACACAATCATCATGCACATGTTCATCAGTCTGGCTGCTCTGTTCGAGTCCAACAAAGTAAGGCACTGTCTGATTGGTTTTGTGTTTTTACTTCCTACAATTTTTGTTTTTCTCAATTTTGGACATGATTAAACCTGGAGCTTGTTTCCAAGTTGGTCAACTCAAGCATTGTGACATACAACCTCCAGGACGGGCCTGACATAATTGTTGGTTTTGGAAATTTCTGTACAACTTTGTTTTATATCACTTCAAACAAAATTACATAATTGTGCACAAACAGCTTTGGACAATCAGACCTGTATAATTTACATTGCTTTGTACTACAATTTCACCAGCAATAACAAAGGTTAAATCTGGACAGAGATTTTTATTGGCTTTAGTCTGGGTTTTAAATAGTTGGTAGATTGATTATGGTTGAGGGAAGCGGTGTGAAATATTTGTCAATGTTGAATATTTAGAAGAAGTGGAATAACTTTTGTCACTCTTACTTTGTCTTATGAAGTCATAGAAATATGTGTTTAAAATTTAATTGAATTGCTTGTATAGTTTGAAACTTCAATGTAAATGAACATTTGTTTCTCTTTAATAATCAGGTGGATCAAGACCATCCTCCTTCCAGCTTCATGTCCATCATTCCCACAACCACCGACGCCCACCAACCAGTGACTCTGTCCAGCAGGGCCCCACCCAGACCACACCCCAGGTCCCAACCCATGGCCAAGCCCAGCCCCAGCCTCCACCTGCCCACCATCACCACCCTACTCAGCGCCAGCAACCCATCGCTGAGATCAGACTCCCTCAGCAAGGGTCCTCGGTTCCCTTACGTCACCAGCAGCTGTATCAGCAACAGAATCGAATGAGGGAGTTACAGAGACTGCACATGTCCAGGTAACTAAAAGTGCCCTCTATTGTCCAAAGTGTGAAAAGGCTGTGTGACAACATAGTCCCAATAGTGTGTTATCTCGCACATACACATTTAGGATAATTTAGAAGATGTCACATCAGACATTTTCTCACATTTGGCTTTTTCTTTAATCTTTCCGTCCAGGATGAGAGATTCCCATTTTGACGCCGTGACGCCATATTCGGCACAGATGCTGCGTCTCTACCACCACCAACAGCAGCAGCAGCAGCAGCAACATCAGCAGCACCAGCAGCAGCAGGAAAACCCTCTGGAACAATTGGAGCATTTCTACTCTGCACCGCACCATCACCGACAGCAGCAGCAGCAGCAGCAGCAGCAGCAGCAGCAGCAACAGCAACAACAACAGCAGCAGCAGCAACAACAGCAGTCTGAAAGTTGCCAGCGTATAATGCACAATGCTCAGCCTCCGCAGGCCCACACGACCTACCCACCCGGTCACCCTCTACTCCATCACCCTAGCCCATACACCCAGCCCCACTCACACCCCTTAGCCCATGCCTTGCCCCAAGCTCATCTTCACCCTACACTGCCAGCATTGCAGCCGGTCCAACCACAACCCCAGCAAATGGAAGTGGAACACATTGAGCCTGTGGTCGGTCCTGCTCCTAACATGTAAGTATCCGCGTTTAACCTTGCTCTTTTTAGTGGGATTTTCTTTCTTAAATACGACTATTTTCAGTAAACCACTTTGACATCTTGGTGAAGACATTTGGTGGTACCTTGCACGCGCACGTTCTGAAATTTGAGGCGTGTATGTAAGTTTTGCCAACCCTAACAGTCAAATCTCATTGATTGCATTGTCATAGGAATATTGGTAATTACCGGGAAATAATTCTTCTTATTTACTGAGAAAAGTCCTGCTCAAAGTGAAGAAAGTTTCACTTCTTCCTGTTCGGAAGAAAATGTTCATTGAAGGCAGATAAAAAAAGTGGTCCCGTGGGCAAGGAATCCACTTCTGAGACCATAAATATTGGCATAGGTGTTCTGTTTTCTTCAAATGTTTAGCATCCACTGAGACAAAATTTCAACAGGTTAGTTGTTATCTGCTCTATTTAAGACTTTGAGCATTTTTGTTGCTTCCAAAAAAAATAAAATGATTCTTTACACCTTAAATGTCATAGATCCTGGTTCCACCTCAATCGCTTCAAATTGCAGTCAGCAGTTTATTACATATTTTTGATCTCTTATCTCTACAGTGACAGCAGCGAGCCGCTCACCATACCACCACCTTTCCTGGACAGTAACTTCTCTCCTCAACATCGTCATTTACATCACCACCTTCACCATTATCACCACACTGCCCCACCGGCACCACCCCAACAGCGTAGTACAGGAGGCTTCCATCCTGCATTCTATGGCAACTATGTGAGTAACCACTGACTATGCCTGCCAACATCCATATCCAGTGATGGCTAAAGCTGTGTCTGTGAATCACTTGGCTATGACTGGCAGTAACATACATGTCTATGGGAATTGGCTTCAGCCACATCCATAGCCGCATGTATGATTGCAAGCTGTAGCCATGTAATTCGGATGCCGCCTCTATCACTGAACAAAGTGTTCAAAACATTGTCTAAACCTTCACACTCTTAAGTATGAAATTGTCGGAATTAAAACAGTGTGCTATGACACTCAAGCTGTTATGTCAACTTGTCTCTAGGGGCGCTATTTTGAGTTGATGGATATTAGGAGTGCAAACACAGAGAGTTAATTAAAGTCAGAACAGATACGCCCTGCAAACACAAAGAGTTTAATGAAATCAGAACAGTGCAATTTTTAAAATGTAGATAATTCGAGGAAAACTCAAAACTGCTGTCAGTGATCAATGAGGTATATTTTTTTTCGTCTATTCCTGATCGATATGTGCAGGAATTCTTACCATATGTGCAGTTTTACCAAAGTATTTGACAATTTTGTTTGCAGCCCAGCATGGCTGATTTACCTCCTCTGACGGCTCATCCATTTTACCGTGCCTATCGGGTGCCGCTGATGCGTAGGATGGGACGTGGTCCCATGTATGAGGTATGTACCTATAGATTTATGACTGACTGGACTATCAGACCAGTCTAATGATTTAAAGGCATGTTGGACTATTGGTAGATAAAGCTGGCACCAAATACCCTGTGAATTTATCCCCCTGAAATGGTATCCTTCAGAAGAAAATAATACTTGAAGGTAGCTTTAAAAAGAGTGTGCCTGCAGGCACATTTATATCCTGCAGGCGCCAGTCTAATGCTTTGACTGAACAAGACAGTGGTCAGTTTTTCACTTTGCCATTCTGAATTATTGTAGGAGTGAGACTTGAAGTCTTGTACAAGTTCTGTCATATCACACCTGTTTTTATTGATCTTCACTGGCTTCCAATTAAGTCGAGAATTGTTTTTAATATCTTGTTGCTTGTTTTTAAAATTCTACATGGTGACTGTCCTGAATATTTGACTCAGCTTATCACTGTTCGACCTCTGTCTCGTTATGGTCTTCGTAGTTTTAATCCGAACAACTGCATTCTTCTTAAACACCCAACCACTCGTAGCAGCACTTCCTTAGGTGATCAGGCCTTTTAAAATGCTGCCCCTTCTCTGTAGAATAAATTACTGGTTCATGTCAGAAATGCCACAAGCTTAAGCCGTTTTAAGACGCTGCTGAAAACGCATCTTTTCCAAAATGCTTTTGATTTGTAATGGGTTTTATAGTAAGTATTTTTAATGAATTTGTGGTAATGTTAATGATTCTCGTGTTTTAATCCGTTAGAAGTATTCTTATTGAACTTAACTTGTATGTAGGCCTAATACTATTTTTTTTAACGATGTACTTCTGGTCCTGATTCTTATTGTAATGTATCTGGTGGTTTTAATGAATTTTAATCAACACTAGCTTTTATACCCAGTTATTGTTTTATTGTTGTACAGCGCATTTGAATATATATATTTTTTTCCCTTTTTAGGAATTGGTTCAGTTGAGTGAGCGAATGGGCCAAGTGAACCGTGGAGCTAGTCGCATCACTATTGAGAGAAATACCTTCCCTCATAAATATCACAAGGTAAACCTTTTGACCGAGTCATTCTCAGACCCTGACACAATAAAACAACTTATTACTGGTTCGAGAAGGCCAACCTACTGTCCTCTGACTGAGTCACTGACAAGGTTTGACTGAGTTCATCGGGGTTCAACCTTGAGTTGCTGCTTGTCAAGCTCCCAAACGGCAAGCAAAATCTTGTTTTTAGTACATCAGAACAGTCTGTCAATCTTCCCATTCAGTCATACTCCAGCAAAGTTGTTTGAGTTTCCATGTTGTCATCTTACTCACAGAGAAAGCGTCCTGCAGAGGAGAGCTCTTGCGCCGAGGCAGAGAATTCATCAGAGAATGCCACGGAAGGAGCATCATCTGAGACCAACTGCTCAAAACCTAAAATCACTGATGATGACGATGATGAAGAGAAATGCACCATCTGTCTGTCGTACTTTGATGAGAACGAAGACGTTCGGTGAGTCAGAATCTTCCAAGTTTGGAAACAAAAAAAAGCTGGAATGTGTGTTTCTTGGGGTGTGTGTGTGCGGGTTTTTATGGGGGGGGGGTCGGTTGGGTGGGAGAGGTGATTTGGGGATGTATGCATTCATGACCTGTTTTTGTGGAATGTGATCAGAAGTTCTCAGATATGGTGTGTTCAAATCTCATACATGACAGTGTTCTCCATGTAGGTCTTTTGGCTTTTTCAGTTACTTGGAAACAAGTATTTCTTTTATGTCACCAACAGTGCTCCAAGTGGGATTCAAACTAGGGGCTCATAGAATTGGAAGGCAAAATAATAAACACCACTATGCATACCCAATTGCTTTATTGTTACCATTGGTCTTTTTGATTTTCCCTTGGTTTTGTAGTCGTCTGCCCTGCATGCACCTGTTTCATGTTGAGTGCGTGGACCAGTGGCTGAGTACCAACAAGCGATGTCCAATCTGCCGGGTCGATATTGAGACCAAGATGCCTAAGGATGCCACATGACTAGACGGGGAGGAGAAACAACTGTGATGGGCGGAGTCTCCAGCCAGCCCCTCCCCTGGTGCCCCTCCTGGTAACCAAACAGGCATACTTGTCTGCATTGTCCAGCGCCAATGTATCACCAAAGATTTGGTCTTGTTGCCAGACTCAACTCCAAGACCCACATAGCATGGTGTGTACACCTGTTCAATAACTGCATGTATTTAAACTCAGCAGTCACATGCCAAACTGCAGTCACCCTTCTCATCCATTAAAAATCACCTAAATGTTGCCTCCCCGACCCTTCCACCCCTTCACTTACTAATACCAGCACAGCCTTAGAAATACTATTTACTCCAGAGTTACTCCATTATTGTGGTAGTTCAGTACTTAGTTAATGTTAAAATAAAACTGTTTGGTGCAGGGACTTCTCGAACAAAATGTACAAAAACAACAAATAGTTTTTAATAGAATTTAAAATAATTATCCTTGGAAATGAATATAGTATGTAAGAAAACTGCTTAAATGTATAACAGTTTGCTGAAAATTTCTCAAAGTCAAAAATTTCTTGTGATGTTTATAAAACAAGCAATTGAAGTGTTCATTTCAACACCCCCCCCAAAAAAAATAGTAATTGCATGTATACGGTGAAGGACTCAATATTTAAAAATTATCATTTTGTTGACAGGCTACAGTCTTTAGATCTTTTTTTTTTTAGTTTCAAAAGTTCTTCCGAGCAGTTTATAAAATTGTCCACATGCTGTGCCAATTCATCAGAGTATTGTTTCCTTTAATAGTGCTTATGTTTATTGTTGAAGCCGTCTTGTGCCCGGACAGTCCAATGCTAATTGCTGTGTAGGGAAAATGCTTTTTAGGTCTGTAGGCTGGTTCCTGCCCTTTCAGGAAATTTACTGGCCTTGGTTTTTACTGAACGACTTTCTAGGGAGCACTGGACAGAAAATAAAAGGTATATACAAATATATATTGCACCTAATAACACTGCAAATTAAAGATTCGTACATGGCGCTCATTTATTTTTATAGGCTAGGCGACTCTTATGGAATGACAGAGAAAATATTTTTCTTGCACAAGTATGTCGCGTGCATTTTATGAACAAGAAAACTGTTATGTCGTGTCGTATTCCTTGTATCCTTCTTATGTCAAATACCACTCAAGCATTTTAAATGTATGTACTACAACTTTTTATTTTTCAAAGTTGAATTCTACCATGAAATCAAACGGTAGATGTTAGTAGTTTTGTATAATGTACTTGAATCTGTTACACAACGAATGGATTGGCATTTTGCATCTTATTACAGTGGCAGTGGAATAGATGTTGATTTTATTTAGTCATTTGGGGTTATGTGAGTTTATTACACCGGATCTTTTGTTCGCCTGTCAGTATTTTTTTCTTTTTTAAGCAGCCAGCTTGTCCTGACAGGTATAACAATTAAATTAATAGCACACATAGTTGTTTGCATGTCATATTACTCATATTTATTACAACATTGTAAACATAAATGTTACAGACATTACATTTAGTAGCATGCACTTGGTAAATTCACTGATCAAATAACTACAATTGTTTTTTAATAAAAACTTATCAGATTCAAAGTAATCTTTTTATACGGTGAATTGGTTTCCAAAATTGTCCACAGGTTGTAAGGTTGAATGAATTAATTTCTCAGTTTCACTGATTTTAGAGGTAAAGTATAATTGGTTGAGGGAGAATGTAAACATACAATACTGATATCAATTTGCATGTCTGTAATGTAGAGAGTTTTATGACAGTGTAATTACTATGTGGTCTTGTACTTGTTAATACGCAGATTAGAAATTGACCAATAAATTTTTGTAGGCAGAAAAATAGCAAATATGTTTATTTTATCATGTAGTGCATTTTTTTCTCGGAGTTGCGTTAAAATTGTTTTCCTGACAACTTATAAAACTAATTTGTCTTCTTGACAAGAATTTGTATATAAAATAGTCATATAAGTATTTACATTTCATACACAAGTACTCCACTGTGGAATGTGGACAGCAAACTAGATTCATACATAGTTTGACAGACTGACCACACTGTACAAGTTTAACTCGCCACCTTGAGGTATTAACAGTGGCAAGATGTCATGTGAATTGCTTGGTGAACGTTGCTAAATCCATAACTTGACCAACACCAACAGATGGATCCATGCATATGAAATCATCCAAGTTCATCGTACTTTCTGAAATGAATGGAAAATTCAAATCAATGAGAGTAAAAAACCATTTGTTTAATTATTAGAAACAAAGTTAATTTATCTGCTTGTATTCATTATGCCAAAAAGGGTATATCTACAGAATATCTACAAGTATGTGCAGCCAGCCATTGAAAATAACTATTATAAGAGATTTGGGAAAGGAGGAGGTTTACCTGTGGTTGCAATACAGTGATATGGCGGTGGTGGCTTCATCCATGTGCCATCTGCAGTCCTCATGTGAGATCGATCTGAGGCAAAGGTCTTCAAGAACAACTCGGCTGGTACAACTCGGAATTTCCTGAACAAAGAAAAGATGGGTGGTTTGCTCACTTCGGTGAGACATGGCTATGCCATCGCCTTGGTCTATTTATTTCTCCTGTTTTCCTGTTCCTTAAGCTCTATCTCAATTCTATTTCAATTAGTAGTGATGTCTCATGTAAAATAAGATGAGGCTGGCCAAGTCAAGCTGAACTGAAACAGGAAAACATTTATACCGAGTGGCTCAGTTTATCCATCGGGGAGTCAGTCAGTCAGTCAATCAGTAAGTGAATAAGTCAATTGGAAGTCAATCGGAAGACAGGCCCTTCGGTTCAAGCAAAAAACCTATAATCTATTTACCTATGGTACTGAACTTTCAGCGAAGCATCTGACTGTATAGCAGACTGTAGATATTGAACCAAGGGGCATGGAAAGGGCAGCAAGGAGTCAAGGTCATAGACCTGGGGGTCACTGACCTCTGGACAATGAATACAAATCACATGGTAGTCCTGAAAAAAAGAAGGGAAAAAAACAGAAACAGAGATAATTTAGCCACTAACATAACATTTGCATGGTAAACGAAAACAATAGCTGATCCGAGATTTTTCTTACCCATACAACTGGTTGATCTGGGCCATTTCCTGCTTTCTGATGCCAAATAGGTATCTGAAGGAGACACAAAAATGAAAGGATTTCATGCTAAATCAGTATTTAAATACAACATTATACACTTTGATGTATAACTTCAACACATACTGCAGGTTTTCGAATGGTGAAAACAAGATTTTTATGTTCTATATTTTAGTGCGGCCTAATAATATCTTTGGAAATATACAAGATCATCTCTGCAAGTGAAATAGGTCTCAGGTAAAAGTGCTAACTATGACAAAGAAATGCCCCTATCAATAAGTATCATAAAATTGATTTGGAATTCGTAGCATAGCAGCAAAGACTTGTAGTTATAATTAACAAGTGTGATGCCTTGTCAGTTGTAAGGACATCATTAACAGCTTTGACATTTTATTAATTCATTCATTCAACTTTTATATGTTGAAAATCTTCTAGCTTAAATTTACCAAATACATGTAGGCCTAGTACTGGGACTTACAGTTTTTGCAGAGTTGGAGATGAACACGGCCAAGAAATGTTCAAGCTGGTCTTGGTGGTGTTCTTGTGCATACTCACATAATTTCCACACATTTTCTTCACTGTAGGAATTGTTTTAGGACAGTGTTATTGTTTCACTCACATGGCAATTATTAAAACCAGCATGACCAGTCAATTGTCAAATAAACTTTTAACTTTGTTAATCCGTATGGTGGATGATCGTAAGCCAATAATATGAGTTTTGTTGAGGAAAAAGAGTGGTTGCTTTGCTGTCTTTAAGCTACTTGGTTGCAAAGCCTTATCTGCGCAGAATTAGAAATAGGAGGATCGAGGACATGTTCACGTCACGCGTCACGGGTCTATCTCAAAATTTCCTCGGGAAATCAATTAGGCCTAGACAGAAACTACGTTCATATCGTTAAACATTTAATGGAGTGCCAATTTTATTTTCCGGTAAGGTAATCATGCCGGTTCATAATAATTTTTCCCCATTAATTTCAGTGAATTACATTAATTTGATGTCTTCAGCTTAAGTCCATGCTTAAGTCAAGTCAGTCAGGACGGTTTCGATCCAACTCGGACCCAAACCAACTCGGACCCAAGCCAACTCGGACCCATGCCAACTCGGACCCATGCCAACTCGGATCCACTACCAACTCGGACCCATGCCAACTCGGACCCACTACCAACTCGGACCCACGACCAACTCGGACCCACTACCAACTCGGACCCATGCATGACCAACTCGGACCCATGGTTTTCAATCATTCGAAATCGTTTTCAATCATTCATTTCAAAAAGTTTGTCCACTTCTCATCTGTTATTATTTACAGTGATGCTGTTTAGTATAAATTTTCATTGTAATTGTAAGGTAAATTATCTCATATCTGTATTGCAGCAGTATAACATTTTTAAGCGCATTAAAATGCTATTTTGAAATGCACTTTAACTTGAAGTGTAATTAATTATTTATTATTTTCATTTGTTTTCCATTAAAACATATTGCGCTTTAAAAGTTTAACCAATTGTTTATTTTCATTAAAACATATTAATTGACATCGTTCACACCATCTTGCTAAATTTAACAGCAATTTATTTCATTTTTAATCCAAACTTCAACGTAACAAGTATACAAATTAAGAACAGATCTTCATAGAAAAATAAAATTGGAAAGTATGGCATTAAAACATAAACACTTTCAAACATAACATTATTAACTCAATAAATATAAGTAAACATAAGTCACTAAATAAAATAAATAAGATATAAAAACGAAGTCTATTCTAATCTCTATTTAAAAAAAACCCACATAAACACCATTGCATACACTGCAAGAAAAACTCCACACAGCGGCAATACAAGAAAACAACAAAACTAAAAACCCCATTCTGCCCAATGTAATTACAGAATATCTTCACTTTATAAGCACTAACATTAAGATCACCTATAACTATAATCTCTGAAACTAAAACTGTTGGGTCCGAGTTGGTCGTGCTTGGGTCCGAGTTGGTAGTGGGTCCGAGTTGGTCGTGGGTCCGAGTTGGTCGTGGGTCCGAGTTGGTAGTGGGTCCGAGTTGGCGTGGGTCCGAGTTGGCATGGTTCCGACTTGGCATGGGTCCGACTTGGTTTGGGTCCGAGTTGACCTGATACCGTCAGGACAGTTGCATGACAGTGCGAACTTCTGTTCTGGTTCTGCGAACGTCATAACTGAACCTTTTGTTCTAATTCTACCTCCATGATCTGACATACCAATAGCAGTTTGTGTAAACACAGTCCTCTCTTGCAAAAAATGTCATGGTGATACTATATAGGCCTATTTTCATGATATTACGCCTACAAATTCTAGCCAAACCCACAGAGTCGAACTGGGTACGCGTGCATGACGACTAGACTGCTGCAAGGTGCATGCGCGCGCTATGCATGCGCTGCAGTCCAGCGCCCTCTGTTGGTACATTTCACAGGTCAAGGTCATATAACCGGCCGCCGGTACTGCCTTCGCTGCACGACTTTGCAAGTTCTGAATTGTTTCTTGTTCCTATATTTGCTGCTGAAGCACTGATCGTTGTTCAGATATGTCTACTGCGGGTCCTAAGAAGGTGTGCATTCTTGGCTCAGGCAACTGGTAAGATATCCGTGTTGTTTTATGTTCAGCGAAATGATATCCTCGATTCGAGCTCGACCCTCCAAATAATCTGCGCAGCTCAGGTACATACGAGTACTTACGCTTGCAACCGGTAACCGTACCCGCATACCCGCGCGCGTTGTCACACACACATTGAAGGTGAGTGCGTAGAAATAGGACCGGTGTGTTTTTATTCCTTCATGCCCTGACGATAGGCCTAGGCTAGAGCTGCCGAGCGCGGAAGAATTTGGAAGTGTACTAGCCTAATTTAATAGAGTATAGACAGCTAGATTTAGCCGGCTTTCTAAATCAAAGATTCAAATCGGTTAGATTGTACAACGCCCTATTTGAATGTTGCATCCTGACGCCTCTTTTTTTTCATCATAATTATTAACTAAATGAACATGATAACATGTGATGAAGGTCAGTCCTTGCAAAAATGTTGAAAAGACATGAATTTGGGATTGAGAAACACTTCCAATTTTGATAGAAAAAAAACTTTGGAAATGCCCTCAACTATAGACTTTGGACACAACCACGGGCAGTCCGGTTGGCGTAGCAGTATTTTCCTCGCCTTCCACCGCTATGACCCGGGTCCGATTGCGTGGGTTTGCCTCAGAATATTTTCTGGACTTTTCCTCCCACCTCTAAAACTGTCATTTCTTCTCATTGTCTTCTCTCTAAGTGATTCATGTCTTTCTATAAAAAGTTGTAAATAAAAAATGCCCAAACCTAGAACTCATGTCTGACTTCTTGTTTGTGATTTAACGGTTGAAAAATGTAATTTTGTTTTCTTTTGTGCAGGGGTTCTGCCATTGCGAGGATAGTCGGTAAGAATGCACAGGAACATGATGCCTTTGACACTGTCGTCAACATGTGGGTGTTTGAGGAGATGATTGACGGCAAGAAACTCACCGAGATCATCAACGAAACTCATGAAAATGTCAAATACCTGAAAGGTTACAAGATCCCAGAAAATGTCGTAAGTAAACTCCTCAAACTATACTAAGTTAGGCATGATATGACAACTTTCAAAACTGTGATGTCATTTCGATCAGAGATGTGGACTAAGCTTTTGATTGGTCAATTTGGTTGCCATGTTTTTGTAATGCAACAGTGTTCTATGGAAGACTCAATAGAAGGCACCCGCTGAATGGTCATAATCTGTAGGTCAAGACACAGTCTAGTTTTGCATAATTAATTGCCGAATCTGCTGGAGTATCAGACGCTTGTGTGCAAGCGACTGTTCCAATTTCCATAGACTACCAAAATATGGGAATCCCCAATATAATCACCGAAAATATGCCAAATGTGAAATTTATAGATGAATGTACATATGTATAAGTAATTCATTATCTTGTTCAGATCTTCAGAACAAAAGTGCACATGACCTAGCCTGCTAGCACTTGTATTCGTGAAACTCCATAAGCTTGGACTTTGGTACATGTTTATTTTGAGATTTCTTTTTCTAAAGCCTGTGAATGTTATCTGTGGTGGCTAACAATGTGGTCATATTTGGTTATGAATTACAATCTAGATCGAGATGGGGAAGCAAGTTATGACAACACACCTTACTTTTTTCCCCTTTTTCCTTCACATGCAGTTGATCGACTGCATTGTTCTGTAGTTCTATAGATGCTTGATAATTACCTCGACTATACCTGTTTCTTTGAAGCCCCCCCCCCCTTGCCTATTTAATATTCAACTCGGATTAAATTGACATTTGACCCATTCTGAAAAGCCAGACTCTGGTATTTCAGGATAATCCATCAGCATTTTTATTACATTGTACTATACCTGTACATGTACTTTATTTTCTTCCTGATGAGTCCATACAATCATCGTGTTTTGGGCATCTTGGGGCAGTTTGGGACAGATATACTAATGGGTTAAGTAGACGGATGATACACATGTACATGCACATGTATATCTAAGTAAAGTATATGTATACCCCTCTCAGATTAGCCTCTGTACATTAATGTACATGTACATTTGTAAACATGTAGCATCATACAATGTACATGTAGATCATATGCAACTTGTATCATGTGAGCATAACTAGCGCATCACAGGAAACACAAATGTTCAGTGACCCATGTTAATAAGCTGATGATGTATTGATGTGCTATATTTTCTATATTTCATGAGCTTTCTACAACTACATGTATCCCATGCATGTACTTGTAAAGACTGTTGGTACTCACACGTGTTGCATTTCATACTAGTCTCAAAATAACAAAGTGCGGTACAATCAATGGACTTAAGATCATGGTGTACTTTACAGAAGCTGTGCAGTCACTTGACTGTCCAAACTGGTCCATTGATTTCATCTGCACAAGCCTGTGCAGCATTTGCCTGCCTGTGTTGCTACTAATTACCACGGAAGATTCAAGATTCCTTGAAGTATTTGAGATCAATTATATTCCTCTTTCATGTCTTACTGCAGGTAGCAGTCCCAGAAGCGAAGGAAGCAGTTAAAGGGGCACACATCCTCATCTTTGTGTTACCTCATCAGTTTGTCGAAAGAATCTGCTTAGGTATCAAGGATACCATTGAGAAGGATGCAATGGCTATTTCTCTGATTAAGGTAAAAGTCCACTTCATTGCAGTTTTTTTTCAAGTTGCATTTGGAATCAAATAAGTGCAGGATTTTAGATGTAATCTTAGCAGTGTGTGGATGAAATGTATTCCCATCTCCACCCTGAAAATACAGCCCATTCTTAAGACAGTTCCAGTAACTGAAAATTTTGTGACCTTTTTAAATTTATGTTAGACAAAATTCAAGTTATTTGGGGGTGGGTAATAATCTAAGTATTAATGTTGGGTTGTGCCCTTCAGCAATGTGATTCATGTTAAAGAAGAGAACAATCTCAGATTAAATCTGACACAAAATTCCATAATAAAAGTGAATAAAATAAAGCATTAGATTCCAAGACATTTACACAATGTCCTTTCTATACTAAATGACATTCTCTTTTTGGTATTGAATTTGTGGTATTAATCAACATCGTTGTCTATCAATTTAGTGACATTGACAATTAAATAATTTTTATGTAATATGTGTTGCTGACGGATGTTTCCGTGTTGTGTTGACAGGGTATGATCATTAAAGACAAAGGACTTCAGCTGATTACAGAAGTCATCAAGGAACACCTGAACATTGAAGTGAACTGTTTGATGGGTGCTAATCTGGCTCCTGAGGTTGCTGCAGGCTACTTCTGTGAAACTACAATTGGTACGATATGTCAGTCAGTTAGTCAATTGGTCAGTCGGTCAGTTGGTTGGTTGGATGGGCAGCTGGTTGGTTGGTTGGTCAGTCTGTCAGGTGGTCTGGTCCTTAAGGTCCATCAGATGTGTCAGTCTGTCCATCCGTTTATCAATCAATAAGCAAATTAGTTCATCAATCTGTTCATTTGTCAGTCCATCTGTCAGTTGGTCAGTTGGCAAGCTTCCACCCGAGGAAACGTGGGAATTTATTTAGCAAGCTCTCAGTCAGCACTGAGAATGCAATGCTCACACAAAAAATAGAATTATATCATTAGAGGACAAAACCCAACATTAAAATATGTCTATCTCCCTGATGCCAAGTTTCCATTGTTAAAAGTAGAATATAAATATCTGATCAATGTAGTGTCTTTTTTTTGGCAGGTTGCAGGAATGCAGAGGCTGGGAAGATAATGAAGAAATTGTTTGAAGCACAGTACTTTCGCATCGTAGTCGTTGAGGATGCCACAACAGTGGAGTTATGTGGAGCACTAAAGGTGAGTCATGCTTCTCACACATTGATCTCAGAGGGCGCTATTGCAGGGATTCTCAATACTTGGATATACACCAATCCGGAAATGCTGTCAGTTGTATCACAAAGGCCCCCATCAATGGTGGCAGCGTTGTGCTAGCTATTGTTCAGATAATCCATCATGGGCAGTTGCTTTGTACAATAGCTGATTCAATGATTTCTCTTCTTTTCTTTTTTTTCAAATGAAGAGATCTTTGTTACTTTTAGAAAACCCCACATTATCCATTGTTTATGGGTTCAACATGCAATAACAGATTGCTACAATTATTTCCTCTTTCGGTAAGCTAGATGCACACACTAAATAGACACTTGTATGGTCTTAATACTCAACCCCTTAAACCATGTTTGCATGGAATCCTGAATCATTTTCAGAATTTTTACAATATCTACCACTGTAGGAACCCAATGGCAAGTTATTTGTATTTAGCTTTCTTTCATAAGGCAACAAGCCCTATAGTGGCTGGGTCATACCTCCCTTAACCTTGCAAAATCCTTCAAAAACTCTTCTTTAATAGTGGACTTAAACGTCTTAAAGCATTGGTCTGCCGTGCTTCACTGTACTCCAGGTACAAGACTCAACATATAATTAACACTTCAAATCATACACATGGGAAAGTCTGATGTGAAAATAATATACATTGTACTGAATTTTGATTTCACAGAAAGTTTTTTGTTTGTTTGATTGACTCAGAATATAGTGGCAGTGGGTGCCGGAATCATAGATGGCCTGGGCTTGGGTGATAACACCAAAGCAGCCATCATTCGACTTGGACTGATGGAGATGGTAGCATTCTCTCAGGCATTCTATCACAACACTGAGACTGCTACCTTCCTTGAGAGCTGCGGGGTTGCTGATCTCATCACTACGTGCTACGGGGGAAGAAATCGACGCGTAGCTGAGGCCTTTGTTAGGACAGGAAAGGTAATGTAAGACGAGGCTGGCCTTGTGGAAGTGGGCCTGAAATTCTTAGTTTAGGACTAAGAGCACCATGGTTCAATGGTTACGGTGTTTGACTCATGTACCATGGTACCTAGGTTTGAACCCTGAGGGGGCACATGGTGCTTGTGTTCTTGGTTCTTGGTTGGTTCTTCTCCTACATACTCCACGTGGGAGTTTATACAGGAGGCCAGAAACACCGGGGCAAACCCCTTCTCTTAGCGATAAGTGTTTACTGGGTTCTTTTACATGCATTTATACAACACACGGGACCTACGGCTTAACGTCCCATCCGAAGGACGAAGCAATAATGGTTAAGTGCCTTGCTTAAGAGCACAAGTGTCCGCCGGCGGGCTCGAACCCACGTCACTGTTGCCTCTGAAACACCAGAACGTGAGTCCGGTGTTCTTAACCGCTAGGCCATCACACTCCTGGGCAAGACACTTCAGTTTAATTGCTTTTCCTCACCCAGGAGTATAAATGGGTACCTGTGAAGGTAGAGATCAGATTGCTCTGATCTCAAGCTGTTGCTGCTGCAAGAAAGAAATAGTTTCATGCAAGGCCTGATGACCAGGAGAAATAATTGTAAAGCATTTTGAGACCGTTGGCCTAAGGCGCTATATAAGCACCACGGTGTTATTATTGTTATTTCTATTATTATTTGTATTATTACATTATGTATACTAAGTGACTCGGTCGGGGAGTCAGTCAGTCAGTCAGTCTGTCAGTGAAAAAATGCTTTGCCATCGGGTTCACCAGAACTTTGTCTCCATGGCCAACCCTACAATTCATACCTCTTGTTCTTTACCTCATCTGGTAATTCCTACCCTGCATTGTGTTTCCCTGCTATTTTCATGACCCAGTTCAGGCCAACGTAAGTAATCTTTTTACTCTATAATTTTTTTCTTCTCTTAATTAGGGCCTTGCATTTGCATTAAAATTAAATGACTACAAACTAACACAATCATACATAAGCTGTAGAAGTTCAGTGAACTATGATACTGTTGACATTTTAATATTGTAACTAAACATGCATAACATTAAGAACAGGATACACTATTTGTTTAAATTACATATATAGTAACATCCACTGTTGACCATGGACTTAACACGTGAACAGTGTAGCTATAAAAACTGATAAATGCATGACTCCAGCATTGTGACAAATCTACAAAATGACATTTTGATAAATTAACAAAATGAGTTGGGCCTATTTTGCAATACGATATATTGCAGCAAAATATAGAATTGAAGAGGCAAAAATTACAAAAATTCAAAACAAAATTGTCCAACCTCTCATCCTCAATGAGTGCTTAGCATGAATTCATTTCACCAATCACCAAAGCATCATATTGCTCTATCAATTGAATATTCCTGTATGATCAAATACATTCCTGCAATAAAAAATAGTCTTTTAAATTCTCCTGTTTTTTTTCCACCTGATTGCTAGAGTATTGAAGAGCTTGAGAAGGAGATGTTGAACGGTCAGAAACTGCAAGGACCTCAAACTGCTGAGGAGATCAATATCATGCTGACCAGCAAAAATTTGACGGCCAAGTAAGATGAACAAAGACATGAATTTTTACTCTGAGAATGATTTTGTGCAAATATCAGTGATGTAGTTGAGTCCATCACAAGTCCTTACAAATCCTCTCAAGTCATAGATCAATCAGTCCTCCATTCTCAAGTCAATTCACAAGGTATTCAAATAAATGTGATAAAGTACCCCCTCAATGGTTACAAAGAGAGAGTTGAGGGGGGGGCACCAGTGCAAGCATCATCGATGATGCTTGACGCTCATGTGAATACTCTACACTTGTACACATGTAGAGTAAAATTAAATGTACGTACTCCACACCACATGAGAGTGCACGAATGCATTGTGTCTTCCCCCACCCAGTTTTTTTTAGTGTTTACCAGGTACCATCTACTGGTGGCGGAGTCCATCAAAGTTCAAAAATGTGTGAAAATAATGGCTTCCCCTCTTTTGGTTGAGATTTTATTCACACCTGATCCCCTTGCTTTCTTTTCTCACAGTTACCCATTGTTCACAGCCATCTACAACATCTGCTACAAAGGTCTGCCCGCCACTGATCTCATCAGCTGCCTGCACGACCACCCTGTACACATGTAAATCATGTGACCATAAAGTCATGTGACTGTGAAGTCATGTGACCATGAAGTCATGTGACCACAAGGTCACCACTACAGCAGCTAGTTTCATATCCGCCTATTGGTATGTTTTGTATTGGATAACTCCAACGATAAATCCAGTGCATATATACATTTACGGTAGGATGTGAAAAGAAATTATTTATGCAAACCTTGCAAAATATCGAAATTGTGTCACTGTCTAAGTGAAAATCACAGTACAACAATAAACAAGATCTGAATATGAGTACCAATGCAATTAAACGTATAGATTATACATGTCTAGTTCTACTGTGGAGCACTCGGCTACTCATTTTTTGTGTTAGTAATTTATCATATTGTTATCTGTATAAATTATGAACTAAATTACTTGAAAACCATCATCACAACATCTTTACAAAGATAGGAGGCTTCACTACAGAAAAGAGAGAAAACAGTCAGGCTTCCACTTCATGTGGTGTATATAAACTAATACAATATTTTAAATACTAGACGATAAAAATTAAGCAGTCACATTTTTGTTTGAAGTGATAGCCACTTATTTACAAAAAACACCATGTGACTGGGTATTTCATTTAACCATTCACTACACATTCTGTTGATGTTACCTTAGAAATTTGTGGGACAAAGTTTGTACCCAGGATGAGGCATTTGGTGTGGTTTTAATTAAGAATGCAAGGTTTACATGGTAAGATGGTGTAGGCTTAGAAGGGCTGTTTGAAGGGGAAAAAACCTAGTTAATACTTCAACAGACATTAAAGTGTGGGTTTGCTACAAAGTTTTTACCAACCCTTGAAGATGTTTGTTTTTTGCATTGGGCTTTTTAAGTTAGATATATAACAATTTCCAAGTATAAGTATGGGTGATTGATAGCTCGAATCTTTCTTCAATTTGAAATGTAGGTGCAATGGTTATTGTACATTTTGCTACTGGATAGTTTGAATAAAATGGCAGGCCTGTTTTGTGAAAAAGAAATGAAGATTTTGTCTTTTTGCTACTTTTTGGACAGGCACTTCTGATTTTTTTTGTTTTGTACGGAGAGAACCTCAGTAGACATTCACAGTTCAACTAGGCTGAACAGTCCTACACCTTTAAATTGTTCGCAGAGTTTGAAATAACGTACAATACTGGACTTACATTTGTACTCTAACATTTTAAGTGTCGGTCTTTTTTCACAACTACATGTATACAGATCATAATATTAACTTTATTTACTGATGGTAGCGATGTCACATTGTCACCTCTAGGATGATTTTCAATTGGCCATCTTCAAAAACATGAGATATACAAACATTAAAAATAATTAAGAAGGAATAATTAACAGGGGAAAAAGCACTTAAACATTCATTACGTCCAGATAAAATTTGAGTAACATTCATAAATTAAAGCTAAATACATTGTACAATTAAAGTTAATTGTTAAAGCTATATTACAATTACCAGACTGACTTAAATGTACACCAAAACCCAACACTCCAGGAATAAATGTATGCTCCATTGGAATGTTTATTTAACCAGGTCTAAATGTTCATCTTTATTTCAATCTGTATTTCTTTTCCACCAATTGAGAAAAACAAGATCGGCAAATTTAACGTGAGTGCATAACAACAATGTACCCTATAATTTTACAAGGGCGATTTACAAGCTTGTCGTTATTGTTATACATAAATTGCAGTGAAATATAACATTGAAAATTCACTTAAAGATAAAGGTAGGCTGAAAAAGGTTTTTGTTTTGGAAAAGTTTGTTAATAGAATCGTCAGTATATTAAGATTTTTACTGCTGTAAATTAGATCGAGTCAACGTTTTGACGGAATTTCGCATGTTGTGAAGAAAAGAGCGTGGCATCGTAAGAAAGCGCCTCAGAGTTTTTGGTCTTTCATTTCCCTATGTTTTAGAACCATTCGGTATACATACTGCGTTTTAATGCCTTTGCTTTCACCGGTCACTACGCAATAATGGAAGGAACGCTTGTCGGGTTCACAGACACTAAATCTAATTCATTGTTTTGGCAAATTATCCACCGTAAGGTACAACAATCTTTCGGTGTTGTATGAAATTTGGACTTATGAAATACCAATTCATTGATTGTATTGCACATGCCTTGGTGAATATAATTAGGACAGAGATATTACACATGAGGGTTAGAGTCCATATGAGGTAAACGAGACCATATTTCATGGGAGTCAACATTTCATATGACACCGGAAATCGCAAATGTAGGTTCCGCTCCAGTCACTTTGAGTGCGCAGTTTAATATTTATATGTTTTCCTTTCAAAGAATGAGCATAAAGTTCCATTCCTGTTGAAATTAAAATCTGCAGTGGCTAGATAATTTTAGGGTGGGTTTTTTTGGTTCGTGAGGTGATAATGACTGCATGTAAATTAAAAAATGGCAAAAAATCAGGCCCATTTTTATGGATTGTGTGTGAAGTTATTTGACTTTACTTTTGACTTAAATACTTTTGAGTGATCGGTTTTAATTAATGCGGTGCATGCAGTTCTATGGAAGGCATGGGATTGAATATTGGTGCTTCTACGTTTTAATTTATTCAAGTGGTATAAATGCATTCTTGAGGTAATCTTGTTGAAAACAGAGTTTTAATACATGAGCCTAAGACAATTAAATCCTTGTTTTGCCAAATGTTTATCCAAAACAAAATCTGCGTGGTTGAAAGGGAGGCCAGTGTAAGGCTCACTAATTAGCTTACTAGGCTAATTAGTACATCAAGCTATATCTGTGTGCAAAAAGAATATAAAGGAAATTACAGTAAAATGATCTTTTGTATATTAACGGTCAATCTTAATGAGAAATTAGACACGCACAGACAAGAAAAAGAAATGTACAAATAAATGTACAAATAATCATATACATGAGGATGGATGTGATCATTATGTCAAGGATGAATTATTAAAATACAGTTGAATGATGCAGGTTGCTTTGTTTCATTTTTTTGCAAGTTTGCGTCTTGTTTTGGGGTTCGAATGCGGTCTTGGTTTCCGCAGTTTACTAAAGGTCCAACGCAAAAGATGCTTTAAAATTCTACATAATTTTGACTGCGCCTGAGGTCGAATTTGGATAGAAAGTGTTCACTTTCCTGCCGACAAATTATAGAAAAAGTGTTAAAATGTTTCTAAGGTGAAAGTGAGTTGTTTGGATTTCTGTTGAACCAGGTATTATGTTTATTTGAAATTGTCAAACAATACATTGACAGGTTTTCTCTGAAATGAATAGACACGCGTGACGTGTTTGTCATGCCGCCGTGCATAACGAACTGTATAAAATTGACAATTATTGCAAGTCAAGAAACCGAGGGTGCGCATGGACGATTGAAACGGAGGCGTGCAGAAAACTATTAAATTTTAGAATATTTTCTGGGACAAACACGGGATATATTTTTTTGTGTGTTATGCAGGGGTGTGAAATATCAGATTTAAATCTGATTTCACCTTTTTTTAGGGATTTCAGTTTTTTCCTTGTTTGCTGTGTACAAAAGTATAGGAGATTTCTAAAGTTCAACATTTTTTACACCATTTTTTCAGCTGTTTTCAGCCATTTTTATCGGTGGTCACTCGTCGCTTTTTTTGTGTTATAGATGAAAGATTTTTGATCTCGTACGTTCTCGTACGGTAAGGTAGTCTCGAGGGGCTTACACATTTTGATAGTCCATCTTTTTTTTTGTCTTGACATTATTATATTATTTTTATTACCGTGGCGTTGTCGACGTATTGCTATCATTTTCATAGGGTTAAATTGTTCGAATATATGTGAAATAACGGTGTTTTTCGGAAAAAAAATCAACCCAAAAGTCCTTCAAATACAATACCGGTTCATTAATTAAGTTGGAACAAAGTATGACGTCTTGCCTCGGCAAACTAGGATTATCTCTTGTCGAAAAGAGTCATTCAATGTCAGTTGGCAGTTCCATCAGATTCAAATGATCGGTACGTTCATTTAGTTTTGTCGAGGCGGCCATAAGCAAGATGGTGATTTGATTTCACCAATTGGCGAATTTAATTATTTTCAAATTTGTTGCTGTGTTCTTTGTTTTCCGACTCGTTGTAAAGAAAACAATTAATTAAGTAAATTGTTGTAGTAAATTGTTTCGCATCTTACTCTCGGTACGACGTACGGTAGCGAGTGGCACGAGGTTGTGGCCTATAGCCTGGACCCCCAATAGACACACATACCGGCACCTCACCCAACGGACTGTACACGGCAGGTCGGATAAAAGTTGAAATTGGCATAAATTAAGTTAGAAAAAAAAATGAAGTGTGATGATTTGAATGCACAATTATTGCAAATAAGATGGTGGGAATTAAACTTGAAGATTAATAGAAAGTAGGCATGTAAACCACAAAGAAAGCATGACTTTATTTTGCTCGACACTGTAAAGCTCCGATCTTTAGAAACATTCCACATGAGTACTCAATCGAAGGGAACAGCTTATTTCATTTGTTCAAAGTGATTTTTAGTAAGATGTAATATAAAAAAAATATGCAATAATTATGGTAACAATGTCTTGTGTATAGGGAAAAGTCGTCGAGTGTTGATGTTGTCCTTGAGTTGCGTCTGAGCAACTATTGTTTTGTCGAAGAAAGCTAGCCTCTGTTTTTCTTGCACAGAACACAACCGTCAAAAGGACAAAATAAAGAAAATCGCTCCAACCAGTGTTTGTTCAAGTACAGTCGTGGAAATGGAAGAAATATATTTGCGGGTGCTCCGTCCCTAGGATGCTTGTTTTTGTTATCTTTTGGCCCTTTTCCTCAAGATAACACAAAGCAATGACAACAGAATGTTTTCAGGGACCATATTTAAAATTATATTATTAGTGGACTTCGCTTGGATACACAAAACGATGGCGAGTTTTCCAAAAAGTAAAGTGCAGGGTCTGAAGTCACTGACGTCACTCCAGCATAGAAGAATTTAAACCTGAAACATCCGGGTGTTTTTTTTTACCTTCTCAGAGTCGAAGACGCGATTCCAATTTTCAAGGACAATGGCGAACAATTACAATAACAATCGTACCTTTGGGTGAATTATTGAAATACAGTTGAATGACGCAGGTTGCTTTGTTCCATTTTTCCAAGTTAGCGTCTTTTTTTATTACTATTTATTTTGGTATAATTTGGACTGTGCCGTACAAATTTCTGTGTTTCCTTCCGACCAATTGTAGAAACAGTGATTAAAAAAAATCCAAGGTCCTTTTGACTTGTTTGGATTTCGTTTGAGCCAGGTTTATTTAATTTGTGTTTCTTGTGTAGCTTTTTGTCAAACACAATGAGAACGTTTTCGCCGAATAGAAAATCGATCTGCGTGCCATTTTGTCATGCCGCATGCATAGCGAATCAAATTAGATCGACCAATCACAAAGGCAGGGATGGGCACGGACGATTGAAAATATAGTTTTTTTTCTATTTTTTTTGAACACACGGGAAACTTTTGTGTTATAGGCCTAGATGAAAGATTTCTCATCTTGTTCAAATATAAGTATGTGAAATAAAGGATTTTTGCCCAGAAAAATTTCAAAAACAAAAACATCGTTAATTTTAATACCAGCCCATTAAATTCCATTTGAACAAAGTATGATCACTTGTATTGGCATTTAGTCGTCGAAAAGAGTCCTTCAATGTCGATTCCCATTCCCATCAAATTCAAATAATTTGTGCCTAATTCGAGTTACCTGCAATTGTTGGCTAATCTAGTGTTTTGTAATAATTATTGTCATCAAAATTAACACATCGATAAATCTGTGAAACCTCTGAATAAATGATGAAAACTAAGACCAGAAAACTAAGACAATATTTAAACATTTTGTCTCGCAGACTTAAATGAGCAGTATAATTCCAAAGGGCTGAGATTTATAATACGAACAATTTGGTTTTATTTTTACTATTATGGTTAAACAGGGGAGGGGTCGTCCAGCTGCTTGCCGTAATGTTGTGTCCTTTGCCAAGCTACTTTACACCAACTTGCCTCTCTCCGCCCAGGAGTATAAATGGGTACCGGCATTAGCTTGGGGTAAGCTAGGGGGAATATTCTCAGTCGTTTCTGCCACTGAAACCGGAGATAAAGGCCGGCCTGATGGGCCACATTGGTTGGTGACAGATTTTACTATACTAATTGGTTGAATACCGTACACAACTCATTAAGCAGTATTTTTCTAATTTAATAAATTCATCTTTTAAAAATCATCTTCGCTGCATTTATATTTTCGATCTGGTGCCATGGCTAAAACTAAGTATGACATCATGCATATAGCTATAGCCGTTTGTACGGTGGTGCAACAATAATGTTGATATAACTTATAACTTGAGATTATTAGCCTATTTACAGATTTATCTCGCATTGACGAATGTGTCCGTTCCAACCATTTAAATGCACGTACCTGTTTCTTCTCTATCGTGCACCCATGCCGTGCATGTTATTCGTCTACATGTATTGTCTGTATCGTTGCGGTACGCGTTGTTGCATCGTACGAGGTATCAACCTGGTTATTACGAGGCCTACACCTACCACATACCATCTTCCTAGCTTGCCTCTGAAAGCGATCGTAAGTGAAACAGTAAATAAACGGATTGATGCACATGTTGACAACGACTATGGAGCCTGCGGCCTGATACCAAATGCTGTCAAAAGAGTTGTCATTTAGTCCCAGATTGAACAAGATGTAGTTGACGTCGGCTGGCACCCAGCAGACTGTGAAAAAGATGGTGACAACCAGTAGGGTCTTGGTGACGTTCTTGTTGGCTTTAGACAGCATGCTCTGAGCAACCTGGTTATTGTCGCCCTCCCTGGCTTTGGAGCGCTTGTGAAGCTCCAAGATGATTCTGATGTAAGCAAAGATCATGATGGAGAGCGGAATAACAAGTTCCCAGAGGAAAATGAAGACTCCTCCGACGGCCTGAATTGTAGGAGTAGACCATAACACATCACAGGCGTCGTTGATTTGATGCGAGATGGGTACCATGTGAGCCTCAGGCACCCAACCACACAACCAAGCAGCAGCCATGACGAACTTGAGACGATAAGAAGAGAACATGTTACGATGGCTGACGGAGTGACAAGTCGCAAAGTATCGCTCCATGGATATTGCCGCCAGGTTGTAGGTAGAGGTAACGAACATGCCGTATTGAGGCCACTCGGACCACCAGAGCTTGCAGTAGATCAGACCGATCGTATTGTCAGGTACTGCCGATGATACCAAAAGTAGGCGACGAAGAATAAACACGAACGACGCCAAGAAATCCACAAAGGATTGATGGAGGATGAGCTTGTTGGTAGAGGACTTGAAAACTTTGCGATATCGCAGCATCACTAGACAGACGAAGGCATTACCAATTAGCCCCAGTACACTCAATACCATGTACACATAGAAATCGGTTTTTCTGCCGGAATCGTCAACTGATACATCAGTGCTTTGATATTCAACTGTAGATGCCTCCATTGTAGATAAAGAAGTCGCTTCGACATCGACAAGTTTCAGACTGACAAGATAAATAAGCCTGGTGTGTACCACGTATAGCTTCAATCTTAATATGTGCGGACAGGATGCAAGGCATGTATAGCGTGATGCAGTCATATTTTCCTTCAATTATAGCAGTCTTGTTTTATTTATTAAATTGCACATTACTTTTTATTGTCAGATATTTTCCTTACCTCTGGTATTGTAAGGTCGTGTGCGGATGTCGAGTGTAAAGCCTACATCACGTCGGTGACTTCCGTTGTAAAATGTGATTGGAGGATACTTTCAGCCATCGCATTGAAAACGTTCAGAACTGACGTTTTCTTCTACGACGTCTTCTTTGTTTGTCCCACGTACACTGTAGGCGTTCAAGTAGTCTTGGTTCAAGACGTAAATGAACGATAATTGACTGCCACTCAGGTTAAGCTACTCAGCCGATTTTCCAAACACTGCCCTCGCGTGATCAATTTTGACGGGAGATGGCAGTTCATGCAAAGTAGACTGTTTGGGTGAATTAGGCCTATTCTAAACTTAAAACACATTCGGTTCCTTGTAGAAATGGGATATACAATTTGATTTTATTAAAAAATTATAATTCATGCATTTACGCGCGTAGCGCAGGCTGAAATGAATGATCTCATTTTTCAAATTTGGTGAGTGTTTTGCTTTTAGAAGATAGAAATTCTTAGACTCAGCAGTATTCTTTTGCAGCCAACAAAATAATGGTTGAAAAGAGTGAATCGGTGAACAGGTATGGCGGGAAACAAGTGTCCATCAGATTGTTTACTTTTAGGACCGATGTTGTGATAGACCCTGAAAGCATAATTAATTGCATAACGTAGGCCTAGATAACCACATCTCATAATTATATCAAGGTTTTAAATAATGCTGATTTAAATCAATATCAATACATTTATATACTTCGCGTGGTAGTCATATTTTTATGTTTTCTGTAGACTTATAAAATCGCTTTATTTTCTATGTGAATTCTGCTTTCAACTGAAAAGTGTTTGACATGACGCAAGACCGTCTATAGTTCAGACCATTTGAAAAAAGAATTCCTCATGAAGTTAACATTTCCTGTCAAAGTTCGTTTGTTCATTGTGACTTATAGAAAAGACGTAAAACAATAGGTATCACTGATGATTCAATTTAAGCCCACGTCCAAACACAGGGTGAGTCATTATTTTGTTTTCCTTAAAAAACAATTAAATTTGATACATCAATGAAGCATATAATTTAGCATTTTCTTCCACTCATGTGAGAAAGAGAATGATTGAAATTGATCCATGTTATCAGATGTTCCGCATGTTTTACTAAAAGAAGTCATTTGTACATCTGTCCATGGAATGCTAAATGCTTTGAAGCTCTTCAGCTGAGAGCCAGAGATTAGGAGCTTGGATTCACATACAAATAACATTTCAATAATTTGAGTCAAGTCTGAAGCATTGGTTTTTTTTCTGTAAGTTTTTGTGTTTGGGGAGCAAATTAAGGTTTTTTTCCGAGAGGCTGTTGGCGATTTTGTCTGTTTTCCTTTGGACGTTTTCATTCATTTATGGACTAGGAATATGGTTCATTGTAATTAAAAGGTAATTGTCAATGAGTATCGGTAAAAAAAACAAATGATGGTGAACAGCCAAATAATGTGGGCTTTCCATCACAATAAACACCATCTTTATGGGGAATTATTAGACACGCACAATGGCTAAAACTAAGTATGTACTAGTCGTTTGTAAGGCGGTGCAACAATAATGTTGGTATAACTTATTACTTGAGAATCCTTCTAAATGCACGTACCTGTTTCCACTCTATCGTGCACCCATGTCGTGCATGTTATTCGTCTACATGTATTGTCTGTATCGTTGCGGTACGCGTTGTTGCATCGTACGAGGTATCAACCTGGTTATTACGAGGCCTACACCTACCACATACCATCTTCCTAGCTTGCTTCTGAAAGCGGTCGTAAGTGAAACAGTAAATAAACGGATTGATGCACACGTTGACAAGGACTATGGAGCCTGTGGCCTGATACCAAATGCTGTCAAAAGAGTTGTCATTTAGTCCCAGATTGAACAAGATGTAGTTGACGTCAGTTGGTATCCAGCAGACTGCGAAAAAGATGGTGACAACCAGTAGGGTCTTGGTGACGTTCTTGTTGGCTTTAGACAGCATGCTCTGAGCAACCTGGTTATTGTCGCCCTCCCTGGCTTTGGAGCGCTTGTGAAGCTCCAAGATGATTCTGATGTAAGCAAAGATCATTATGGAGAGCGGAATAACAAGTTCCCAGAGGAAAATGAAGACTCCTCCGACGGCCTGAATTGTAGGAGTAGACCATAACACAGCACAGGCGTCGTTGATTTGATGCGAGATGGGTACAAGGTGAGCCTCAGTCAACCAACCACACAACCAAGCAGCAGCCATGACGAACTTGAGACGATAAGAAGAGAACATGTTACGATGTCTGACGGAGTGACAAGTCGCAAAGTATCGCTCCATGGATATTGCCGCCAGGTTGTAGGTAGAGGTAACGAACATGCCGTATTGAGGCCACTCAGACCACCAGAGCTTGCAGTAGATCAGACCGATTGCATTGTCGGGTACTGCCGATGATACCACAAGTAGGCGACGAAGAATAAACACGAACGACGCCAAGAAATCCACAAAGGATTGATGGAGGATGAGCTTGTTGGTTGAGGAGTTGAAAACTTTGCGATATCGCAGCATCACCAGACAGACGAAGGCGTTACCAATTAGCCCCAGTACACTCAATACGATGTACACGTAGAAATCGGATTTTCTGCCGGAATCGTCAACTGATATATCAGTGCTTTGATTTTCAACTGTAGATGCCTCCATTGTAGATAAAGAAGTTGCTTCGACATCGACAAGGTTCAGACTGACAAGATAAATAAGCCTGGTGCGTACCACGTATAGCTTCAATCTTATGTGCGGACAGGATGCAAGGCATGTATAGCGTGATGCAGTCATATTTTCCTTCAATTATAGCAGTCTTGTTTTATTTATTAAATTGCACATTACTTTTTATTGTCAGATAATTTCCTTACCTCTGGTATTGTAAGGTCCCGTGCGGATGTCGAGTGTAAAGCCTACATCACGTCGGTGACTAATTCCGTTGTAAAATGTGATTGGAGGATAGTTTCAGCCATCGCATTGAAAACGTTCAGAACTGACGTTTTCTTCTACGACGTCTTCTTTGTTTGTCCCACGTACACTGTATAGGCGTTCAAGTAGTCTCTGTTCAAGACTTAAATGGACGACAATTGACTGCCACTCAGGCTAAGCTACTCAGCCGATTTTCCAAACACCGCCCTCGCGTGATCAATTTTGACGGGAGATGGCAGTTCATGCAAAGTAGACTGTTTGGGTGAATTAGGCCTATTCTAAACTTGGAACACAGTCGGTTCCTTGTAGAAATGGGATATACAATTTGTTTTTACTAATAAATTAAAATTAATGCATTTTCGCGAGTAGCGCAGGCTGAAGTGAATGGCAGGGCATTTTAATACATGGCAACACGAATTTTGTGATCTCATTTTTCAAATTCGGTGAGTGTTTTGCTTTTAGAAGATAGAAATTCTTAAACTCAGCAGTATTCTTTTGCAGCCAACAAATGGTTGAAAAGAGTGAATCGGTGTACAGGCATGGCGGGAAACAAGTGTCCATCAGATTGTCTACTTTTAGGACCGACGTTGTGATAGACACTGAAAGTATGATTAATTGCATAACGTAGGCCTAGACTACCACATCTCACAATTATATCAAGGTTTTAAATAATGCTGATTTAAATCAATATCAATACATTTATATACTTCACTTGGTAGTCATATTTCTATGTTTTTTGTAGACTTATAAAATCGTTTTATTTTCTATGTGTATTCTGCAATCAACTAAAAGTGTTTGACATGACGCAAGACCGTCTATAGTTCAGACCATTTGATAAAAAAATCCTCATGAAGTTAACATTACCTGTCAAGTTCGTTTGTTCATTGTGACTTCTAGAAAAGACGTAAAACAATAGGTATCACTGATGATTTAATTTAAGTCCACGTCCAAACACAAGGTGAGTCATTATTTGGTTTCCCTTAAAAAAACAATTAAATTTGATACATCAATGAAGCATATAATTTAGCATTTTCTTCCACTCATGTGAGAAAGAGAATTATTGAAATTGATCCATGTAATCAGATGTTACGCATGTTTTACTAAAAGAAGCCATTTGTACATCCGTCCATGAAATGCTAAATGCTTTGAAGCTCTTCAGCTGAGAGCCAGAGATTAGGAGCTTGGATTCACATACAAATAAAATTTCAATAATTTGAGTCAAGTCTGAAGCATTGTTTTTTTTCTGTAAGTTTTTGTGTTTGGGGAGCAAATCAAGTCTTTTTTCTGAAAGGCTGTTGGCGATTTTTGTCTGTTTTCCTTTGGACGTTTTCATTAATTTATGGACTAGGAATATGGTTCATTGTAATACATAGGTATATGTCAATGCGTATCGGTAAAAAAACAAATGATGGTGAACAACCAAATTATATGTGGGATTTCGATAGTACACTAATAGTACACCATCTTTATGGGGAATTAGACACGCACAATGGCTAAAACTAAGTATGTACTAGTCGTTTGTAAGGAGGTGCAACAATAATGTTGGTATAGCTTATTACTTGAGATTATTATTTACAGATTTCTTTCACTGACGAATGTACCCGTTCCAATCCTTCTAAATGCACGTACCTGTTTCCTCTCTATCGTGCACCCATGCCGTGCATGTTATTCGTCTACATGTATTGTCTGTATCGTTGCGGTACGCGTTGTTGCATCGTACGAGGTATCAACCTGGTTATTACGAGGCCTACACCTACCACATACCATCTTCCTAGCTTGCTTCTGAAAGCGATCGTAAGTGAAACAGTAAATAAACGGATTGATGCACATGTTGACAAGGACTATGGAGCCTGCGGCCTGATACCAAATGCTGTCAAAAGAGTTGTCATTTAATCCGAGATTGTACGAGATGTAGTTGACGTCGGCTGGCACCCAGCAGACTGTGAAAAAGATGGTGACAACCAGTAGGGTTTTGGTGACGTTCTTGTTGGCTTTAGACAGCATGCTCTGAGCAACCTGGCTATTGTCGCCCTCCCTGGCTTTGGAGCGCTTGTGGAGCTCCAAGATGATTCTGATGTAAGCAAAGATCATGATGGAGAGCGGAATGAAAAGTTCCCAGAGGAAAATGAAGACTCCTCCGACGGCCTGAATTGTAGGATTAGGCCATAACGCAGCACAGGCGTCGTTGATTTGGTGAGATGGGTACAAGGTGAGCCTCAGGCACCCAACCACACAACCAAGCAGCAGCCATGACGAACTTGAGACGATAAGAAGAGAACATGTTACGATGGCTGACGGAGTGACAAGTCGCAAAGTATCGCTCCATGGATATTGCAGCCAGGTTGTAGGTAGAGGTAACGAACATGCTGTATTGAGGCCACTCGGACCACCAGAGCTTGCAGTACATCAGACCGATTGCATTGTCAGGTACTGCCGATGATACCACAAGTAGGCGACGAAGAATAAACACGAACGACGCCAAGAAATCCACAAAGGATTGATGGAGGATGAGCTTGTTGGTTGAGGACTTGAAAACTTTGCGATATCGCAGCATCACCAGGCAGACGAAGGCATTGCCAATTAGCCCCAGTGTACTCAATACGATGTACACATAGAAATAAGATTTTCTGCCGGAATCTTCGGCTGTCATCTCGGGGCCTTGATTTTCAATGGTAGATGCCTCCATGGCCGGTTGAGAATTTACCTTCGCTCAGTTAACCGTCGATCGGCCCAATCAGTTGAACCTCCAAACCTCGTCTGTGCGAAGTGGCCCAAATCAAACTCACATATTACAAGATCGACACGATAGTTATGCCGTTGTTTGCCTTCAAAATGTACAAGCCTCAGGGCCCCTTTTACAAATTCAATTGCCTCATAGCTTACCCCTATACTTCCTTTAGAGTTTTACTGTCGAACCTTCTTTTATACATAAATGTTTGCAGAGCTCGGTAATTTCATCAGTGAAAGTGACGTCAGAAGTTACGCTTCAGTATATTAGATGGAGTACATGTATATACGCTCCGTGTGGTGGCTAGGGACGTGGCAGGTTGCAAGGCGCAAGTCTCGAACAAAATAATCATCTACATTCAAATTGTCCCTATAGTTAAAACAAGTCGATTTGGCCTCGGCGCAGAATAAACAAAGAAGCCGCTAAAAAAAACACTGATGTAATATGGTGGAGGCAAGGCAACGCCAACAAAGTGACTTTTTGTTGTTAAATGTTTTGCCAAAATATCAGATATGACTACTTGACTTGTTCTTGTTCATCTTCGATGATGGGAATATGGATAAAGTACCCCGGTTTATTCAGGAAAGATGTTCCGTGCGCAAGTACCCCCTCATCGGTGAAAGTGAGAGAGGGGACTTGATGAGGGGGGGGGGGGGGGGGCATGTGCGCAGACAATGACGCAGCGGGTATTCTATTACATCATGCGGATTCATGCGTAGCCACTTCATGCTGTCATTATGCATGGGTTTCCAATCTAGTTATTTTATTTTTTAAATATACATGTATATGGTCTGTCTCATACGTCGTTACGAAATTAAAAACATAGATCAGAAATGTTTTCCCTGTAATTAATAAAGTCGAGAGTTGGCTAACGTCATAGGTGACGTGCTTTGGACGGCCTCAGCGAATGGGCTGCGTGCGCCAACAAAAGTGAGCGCGTAATTTATTGTTACCACTTTTGAGAGCCCCATTGATCTCCATTAGTCTTCCTAATAAAGATCAATGGAGGGCGGCCTTGGACGGGTTCGCGCGCAAAGTAGAACAACTTACTTATCCGAGGCGGTTGTCTTGCCTAATTAATCAGCGAATCTGCTCACATAATCATAGACCATGGTCTATTACATAGGCCTATAGTATTCGCGCTGCGAATTCGTAAAAAAAGTTGAACACATTCCAACCCCGGCAAAGTTCGCAGCGAATGTTTCAAGACGTGAAATTCGCTTCGCATTCGCATGAAGTATGAACCGGGCTTTACAAATGGAGATCAATGATCTCCATTTGAGTCGTTCTAATGGAGATCAATGACGGAGCCCATATGAACGCACAAGTCGTGGAATAAGTGGCGGTTTAGAAAAAACGTGACGTTCTCAGCGCATGACTTGCACTAACTTTTAGACAAGGCCGCCGGCGCGTATTGTAGGCTTGTCAATTATTTCATCTCTTCGGTCATGTTATGGCGTTCATGAGTGGGCATAGCGCCATCTATATTTGGCTGTTCCGTATGGACTGTTCGTGCGTAATGCATCACTCCATCAGGGCCAGCATTGCTTGTCTGTCAAGCAAACCCCAGATCCGCGTGAGATAGGGGCCATCAGCCAGGAACCTCAATGTTCTACCAGCACGGCACATTAAGACCCGGTAAAATGCACACTATACGCATGGCTTCACAATGATGTTCCTATATGGCAGAATTGCACGACTGATTTTTTGTACCAATAGATGAAACCAATGTAATATTGCATCCTTGCCCTACAAATTCTTGCGCTGATGGATTCTTGTTAATAAATGAAATTGTTGAAAATTTCTGATTTAGGAAATTAAGCCAAAAATCGGGCAAACTATAATGCTGAGAGGAAATGAAATTGCATGAGACTGTTCAATGCAACAGTTACATAGCTTTTTAAGCCACCACCTTCTTCTCAGTTCCCGGACAACTGATCGGAAGTACTACATTGTACTTCAGTAATTTGACTACACAATTCTCCCCTGCCCATATTTTCGTGGACATTTTAAGTCCAACAATTGGGAGTGCATATGAGGTTATTTCGAGTGTAAATTTTAGTTTCGTTCTTCATAACTTATTTAAAGTGGCAAAATTACTCGTTATTTGCCTTGGATTTCATTAGCCTTTAGGGCAGCTAAACGGTTATTTTTTCGCACCTTTCAATGAAACTTGAAACTTCGTTCGATTTAGATCGAAACATCAAAATGAACCACTCAAACAACATGTTTTTCGGAGGAAACTAAATCGGTTTTGTTAAAAAAAATTACCATGTTTCGTTACTCTCGACTGGATGTTTGTTCTGTGTGATTAATGAATTAACCTTTTGCAAAGCTTGTGCGGACTGTCAAAATCTGTGTGGGCCACTTTCTTCACCCTCTTAAGTGAATGTCCTTTATTAAATACCAAGTGGCCCAATTAAGTCATTTCATTTAATGAGATGTATCTCTAGACTGGGGTGTCCAAATGAGATGGGATAAAGACCATTGTGTAGAGTATCTACTAAACCTTCAGGATCTATAGATATACTTTCTGCAAAAAGAGAGTGTTAGTATTTTTAATATTAGTGGAATGACTGCAACAATTCCGAGACCCTGTACTTTATCATTACCACAGTAATCATAATTTAAAATGTGCCCGAGAATGACCAACCAATATTATGGCTACTTGAAAGTTTCTTGTTTACCTCGCATCGTCGCTGATTACTCAATGATATCCACCCGATTCTGAGGCCGCTTGCAGACATCAGACACCATCTTCCAAGCTTGCTTCTGAAAGCGATCATAGGTGAAGCAGTAGATGATAGGATTGATGCACATGTTAATCAGGACAATCGCGCCCGCAACTTGGTAGAAAACGCTGTCTAGTGAGTTCTCGTTCAGTCCGCTGTGGTACAAGATGTAGTTGACATCAGTCGGCGCCCAGCAAATGGCAAAGAAGATGGCGACCACGAACAGAGTCTTGGTGACGTTCTTGTTGGCTTTGGACAGCATGTTCTGGGCATCGTTGTTGTTGCTGTTGTTGCCGACTCTGTTTTTGGAGCGCTTGTGAAGCTCCATGATGATTCTGGTGTAAGCAAAGATCATGATGGAAAGCGGGATGACGAATTCCCAGATAGCGATGGAAACTCCACCGATGGCTTGTATGATACGGCTTGGCCAGAATCCTTCACAGGAATCATCGAGCTGGTAGGAGATGGGTACAAGATGAGCCTCTGGTATCCAGCCACACAGCCAAGCAGCCACCATGATGAGTTTGAGACGCTTGGATGTCAACATGTTACGATGAGCAATCGAATGACATGTTGCGAAGTATCGCTCCATGGATATGGCCACCAAGTTGTAGGTAGAGGTGACATACAGCGCCCATAGTGGCCATTCAGACCACCAGAGCTTGCAGTAGAGCGCACCAATCGCATTAGCGGGAATCGGTGTCGTTACCCTCAGAAATCGGTTGAGAATAAATACAAACGACGCCAAGAAATCCACAAAGGATTGATGGAGGATGAGCTTGTTGGTTGAGGAGTTGAAAACCTTGCGATATCGCAGCATCACCAGACAAACGAAGGCGTTACCAATTAGCCCCAGTGTACTCAATACGATGTACACATAGAAATTCGCCGTCTCGCCCGTGCTGCCCGCAGACTCCTGATTTCCAACTGTAGTCGCCTCCATGACAGCGGTAACGTTGGTAAAACTTTGCGGAACAGTTCGTCTCCGAGGCAAGCAATGCTTCGACAACCACCGCACGGACACAACAATCAGGATTCGTGTGTGGGCTCACCAAATGCCTTCGCTAACGAACTTCATAAAACTGTGCGATGGCTTCAATCGGAATACTTTTTTGAGAAGGCAGTAGGAATGCGCAGTCGGTGTACTCGATACATATGAAGCGGATTCGGAAGCAGGACATAGAGACGGAGTTCAGCAGGAGACTAGGTATCGGTGAATATTTCCATGGCAACGCGCGGTCTGATACGCCCCCTTTTTGTACGGGGCTAAGCAATAAATTGAGCCCATGTGATTGAGCCGGCGTATATTTGCGTTGTAAATGTCACCGTGGTTCACCGAGAGAAATACATTTAACTTCCAAAGGTTGTGCTTTCTTAAGAAACTTCTGCAAAAGAATGGTTTTAGTCTTGGGGTTTTGGGGGGTTAGGTTCAGGGTTCCCGTTAGTATTTTTAAAGACTTGATCATGTCGGGCTGCCATTTTGTCGTGGTGGGATAACATTTCATTCTCCAATGTTATTACAGAAAATTAATCATTCAACAATTGCACGTTGATAGCGAGGTCCTATCCTTGTATACTACTTACGGGCTAGTTATGGTCCGACATTGGTAACACAGTGCGAACACGATTCGGGCATAACCAAACGACTTATGCGATAGCCAGTCAAGAAAAATAAAATCCCTAAATCCAATATAGTCATACCAAAAAAACCAACAACTAAACGGATAAACATATCAATAAAAGAAGGAACAAATAAACAAGACGAATGAAGTAGCCAAGAACGAATGAACAAACGAATGAAATAAGGTGACGAGATCCCGTCTTCTCATTACTCACCCCCGTAACATTGGTTCTACTATTGACACAGTACCACGTTCCTTTAAAAAAGAAATGAAATTAATTCCACCTCTTGAGTGATGAATAAAATAATCGAACTTGAATTGAATTGAATTAAGTCGAAGATTCGACTGACGACAGTAAAAGTCTCAAAGGCTTGCCATTGAAATAAATTGGATAGAAAGAAATATTCAGAGTCTTCAACTTGATTCGAAAAGGGCCAGGGTTACTCGGAGAATTTGGTCAGAGCAGATAATCTGAACTCTATGCCTCATGCCCATTTTTTATTTCACTTTTAATAAACATGCACTATTACCGTAATTGAAGCATTCCGGTTTCTTGTCGTTTGACTTGAAATCAAATTTCACGTTAGAGTGATGAATAACAAAATCGGTATTAAAGTGGATTGAGATGGCGATCCTGACTGACGAGTCTGAACAAGTCAAATAAATCGAATTGCACCCTTGGCCTTCGAGGGCTTGTTTTTCCAGTGTACTATAATAATTGCAAGGCCAAGAATCGAAACCTTTAAAAGCTCCAGGCCATCGGGATTCTTTTAAAATGGGGGGGGGGGGGGGGGGGGGGGGGGGGTCAGTGGTGCACCCAAGGGGGGGGGATCGGGGGGCTTGAGCCCCCCCCCCCCCCGAGGTTGTCATTTTTGTTTTCTTTTTTGGGGGGAGGGGGGTCAATAGCTTTTAGTCCCACGATTTGACCATGGTGATATGCATGTGGCCTATTTTCGAGTAGTATAATAGGGGTGTAAACGGCGCCACCAACGTCAAAATAGTCCGTGCCCCAACATTTCTTTTTAGCTTGTAATTTGACACCCAATGGCGTACGTCATCGTGACGTCAGAGTAATATGCACCACTCGGGATGAGGTCGATATATGTTGAAAGTTACAAGTTCATACCATATACCGTTTAGGAGAAAACCTGCGGAAAATTATTGAAAAATAAAAATAAGAAAAAAAGAAGGAAAGATTTATGAGAACAGTTCCAAACAGTGTTCGGGTTGTGCCCGACGACTCAATGATAATTCATTTTGCCCATTAGGGCAAAACCTAATTTGATTGAAAATTCCATTAACAAAAGGGGACACTTCACGCCAGTGTGACAAGTTAAAGGGGGGGGGGGTGTTAGAAACAGGGCAAGCAACAAGAAATAACTTGATTAGGTGAGCAGTACCAAAGAGCGGGAGATGATAAAATGGGGGTGGGATGCTTGTTTCTGTCCGTCACGAGGGGGAACTATAGGGCATTATAATCCCATTTTATTCCTTAAAATTCCGTTCGGAAAAGAAATTTGAAATTATGAAAATGCATGTACATGTACATGTTTATACCAATTTTAACAAAGGCAAAATGATGGGGATGTGCTACATTAATTTTGTCTACATTGTACGCGAAGTCAAACAAAAATTTGAAGCTTTTCACAAGTCTAATAAAGATATGCACAATGTCGTTTGGCATTGTGTGATAGTAATAATTGTGATAGAATCAGCAGTAAGCGGCGGGTCATGTTGATCGAATTTGTCGCCGCAAGGGTCCAAGACAATGTTGTTTTTTTTTAAATTAATTCTAGCTTGTTAACTTTCAGTAACAATCTTCCCCCATCACACAAATAGGAAGCCACGTGATGACATTTGTTTCAAACCCAAATATGCATCTCGATCAACTTTCAGCAAATGTTACACAGAAAGGTATTATCTTGGAAATTACGTCATTTGTGCATTCATTTCGATATTTTATTTTTAATGTCTTGGCACGTATAACGGACAACACAGAAAACGAAGATTGAAAACAGTCTGTCTCTTTTTTTTTTTTTTACAAACACGACACTTGTATTTATTTCTGATTATCAATATTTACTAAAATTATACACGATACACACACGTTCATAATACAAACTGCTTATCATTTGGAATCAAAGTGGCCCTTAGGCACACCCACAAGGGGCGCTATAACCAGTTTAAAGCTATTTGCAACATATACAATTTAAACGTACATGACTGTCACTCGTATAACCCTCCAGTGAAAACAATGAATCGCAGACAATACATAATGATGTAAAGACATCACATTCAGGAAAATAATGATATTGCTTGGGTAAATGAGTTTTAAATTATATATATATTTTTCCATTTTGAAAGTTAGATTCTCATCTTCTACACTGTTGTAATTGCCATTAGCTAAAACTACTTAGACGCTTAAGTACATTTGTATACGCTAACACATTTGACTGACTGGTGGCAAATACAACTGCACCGGGAACTTATTAAGGACCACTATCAGACCTACATGATATGTGATAATGTGGCAAGACATTTTGGATCAGTATACATATGCAAGACGCCTTTCCTATAAGTATGTCGTTAGTTCACTTGGTACTTTGTCAATTTACACATTTCTTATTTATACTGAAAGTATATTATGGTCTTGTACTGTAACTGGCACAAAACAGAACGGCACACCTTCAAGGAAAAATTCAAATCAAGTGACTTCATATATGGATTACGAATACATTACGAACCCAGAAGAGATTTAACCATTCCATCTTAACTGGCTTCCAACCCTGTAAATATGATGATGATGATGATGCGTTTTCACCACGACTAATCACCAATCCCGTGGAAAAAGGTAGAAATGTTGTGCAAGTACAACCGCTTGCTTTGGAGTACGTCTGAGTTGTTGTAGTAAAAAAAAAAAACATACACAGGGGAACACACTATCAATTGCTCGGAAAGAAAGATGGCGGCCAGTTTGGATGCAAACAATTAAAAAGGAGGGATTACTTACAAAGGGTCTAAGGACAATGAAGGATGTGAATCAATTTAAGTCGCCCTTTTTTGAATTGTAAATGTTAATTCTCGCTGACTAATAATATTGAGATGACCATATTGACCCAAAATCTGTTCTGAAGACATCGGTATAGACTGTCTACCGAAGAATGCCCATAAAAACATTGGACCATTTTCCCATTGCACCATTTCTTTCTGCAATCAAAGATATATAATAGACGACACATTAACCAGAATCGGACATGACTTCCTAAGCAACTGCAAATAGAAATGGTCGGTGCGTTTTCGGTGGAATACTAATCAACCAAAGAACTCTCTGATCAATATTACAAATTAGTATGAATTGAGATAATTTTTTTTTAACTCAAAAACGATTCTAAAGTGACACTGTTATCTGATTGCTGATTAATTTTAAGGACATAAAAATAAAATCATGTTATAAAATTCTTTTGTCCCTGATCTTTTATAGCGTCTTTTCGTCGGACGAGTAAGGGCCTTCAGGTAATTAAAATTATCAAAAACACTCCGGTTCAAAAAAAAATTGGGGGGGGGGGCGCGGTGGGTAAAAAATATTACCTCTAGCCCTTGCGACAAAGAATTCAATCGGCAGCTTTTTATTACCTTCGTAATTTATCGGGTACTTCAAACCAGGCTGAATACTAATAATTATTAACAAAACTTCTTAGGATCAATGTTTTTTTAAACAACCACCGACTCGCTTTTTAAAGGCTATTTCAAACAAAGAAGAAAACTTCGCCGATTTCATTATAGGCCCATTTTTTTTTTCAAAATCCTTTGATTGAACCAAAATCCTCTTGAGACATCAGGTACATATCCCCCTGTGTCCAATGATTTCTGTCCGTCAAGGTTGCATACAATGACCACAATGACCATGCTTTTTGAGTTTGTATTTTCTTCTGTGCGACTCGCTATAGTTTTTGTAAGCCGTAAGCAAATCCTTTAATTGAACCCAAATCCTCAATGAAACCCTTTTCTTGATTCTGTGCCTCTATTTCCAAAGAACACCGCGGTTTTTTTTTTAAAGTAGTTGGACATTGTTTGTGCTTGACTTGTGGAAGTAAACAAGTCGAAAGCACGTGCGTCACTCCCAACAGTATTGGCAGTCCAAAGAAATCGCCATCTTTGATACAAAAAGCCTTCTGAATACAGAAATTGAAATCCTTCTCAGATACAATTCTTTATATTCCCCAAACTTTATCAAACATCACGTCTGTGATAATGACAGACTTTGTTCGCATTTAACTTTCTCAAGACGATAAAAGTAAAAACCCTATACACCAGGGAAAAAATAAATGTCCCTTAAAGTTGAATGGAAATTCTCATTTTAAAAGCCATCAGGAAAGAAGCTTCCTGTTCTTACAATCTTTCTTTTTACAAATCCAGTTTGTTGTTTCTTTGCATCCATGTAGCTACATATAAACATTATTTGGTAAGAAAAATCTTTTTTATACTAAAACACCTGAAATTCTTTGTATTTATTCATCGGAGTAAATTACCCTGGCAACGTTGCTTTTCTAGTGCAATTTTCACACAACAGCTTAAATAAATACTTAACGCAAAACATGGTGCTGAAATGCACTATTTCAATTTTACGCTAAATTTTCCTTCCAATTTCTCTCCGATGTCATCATCACTTCTTACATGATGAGGACAGAATCACATTGCACTTACAATTTATTTCCCCAAATCTGGAGAAATCACCTTTTCCTAGATTCTAGTAGCCACCCTTTAAATAGTGATATGATTAAGGAAGAAATAGGAACAAAGGCATGCATTTGATAACAGGATAATACATAATTCTTATTTACAGGTAAAATCGCATCCAACAATTAAACTACAGTTTTTGCTACATGTACAACAAAGTAGCTCATACAATGGATGTACAGTCCTCACGAGCCTATAGCCGATATTTTGAAACTTTAGAAATTTACAGACATGTACACAGAACAGGAAAAGGTTCTGAAGGCATAGGCTGGGATTTAACACTGTCAAAAGCATGCATTACGTTCACACATCCACCCAATGTCATTCAATGATAAATGAATCTAGACCAGTAGCCAGTCTGGTGTGAAGGGAGGGTGATTTTAATTGAAAAAGTGGACCAATAGTGAACTGAACATTTAGAACATTTTAAATATCAAATGACCTACTCCAACAAAATTAAGTACACATAGTTGTTGTTTTATGACCACGAAAGCCAGTCATGAAAAGTGACAGTGGACAGCTTAAAAGGGCACATGTCAAATTGGATGATTCTGACCATTCAGCGGGTGCCTTCTATCGGTCTTCAGTAACCCGTTGTTGAATTACAAAAACATGGCATCCAATTTTGACCATTCAACAGCTTACATGTAGTCCACATTTCTGATCAAAATGACATCACAGTTCATGATGTCAACTCCGATTTTCTTGGGCGCGGTGTCACCTAAACTTTGCATGTGTACACTTTATTAGATGTTCGAACGTAGCTCTGCACACGGTAATGTCTGCTCCTGGGAATTCCCCCCCCCCACTCCAACCCATTCCTATCCTGGCTACAGGCCTCGAATTACACCCTGATCTAGTCATAGTTTTCCTTATAAATGTACTTCAACTACACACTTACATGTCCCCTCTAGTAGTGTGGAATATAAACAAAGAGATTAGTTTCTTGAGTTGAGGATTTAAGAAGGGTTTGTAAGAGAAGTGTACAGCTACCTCAGAGACAGTCAGCTCAGCTGTACAGAAGAAGTAGCTTCTCACAATGTGGCCAACAGAGGGGGCCATCATACATCACCTGCTGATTGTCTTCATCTCAAAATCTGTACGCAAGAAAAGATCTGTGGTCATTCATTTGTCCACAAAGAGGACAAAAAGTCTTCAAAAGGTCAACATTTAGGATTTTAACAGAGAGATCTATCGGTTAACTTTTTTATGTTTACCGCGTTGGACCCAACTTGGGATAAAGTGACAAACATAAAAACTTGGAGCCAAATCACTGTACAAAGGCACATTCTTTGCACTTGTACTTTCAGGGGTCATCCAGCCCTGTGTAAAGAGACAAATGTTGGGCTGAGGCTTCCTCATTCATGTAAAATCCTCTCTAAAATCTCCTTGTGGATTCGGAATGTTCCGGGGTCAGGAGCGCTAGACCACTTTGAATGGGATTGGGGGGGGGGGGGGTTTGAAACCATGGCAGACCATCCATGCTAACAGGTACATGTAGACAGGATTTTGTACCCAGACCCGGGGGGGGGGGGGGGGGGGGAGAAGGGGCCGGGGGGGGGGGGGATCATCTTACTATAGGGGCTGCTGTTCAAGGCAGATGATCAGACAACAGGTGACACAATTAAATGATACATGGTGGGGGCCACTGGGGGGGGGGGGGGGAGAAGCCCACTCTAGCGATGCCCATGTGTGGAACACATATCATGGAGCTACAAAAGATCTATATTGGCTCACCAAAAGGGGGTTATTACCTAAAGCGTCATGCTTTGCATGATTTTTCGGCTGATGAATTTGTTAAGCAATACGTTCTGCTTAGCAGGACCATGACATTGAGACGGGTTGAATCAGAGTACATTTAAGTATGTTAATCAAACCTTGCCCCATACACATCAAAAACACAATGAACACACCGAAATAAAACAAACACCAATATCAATAAACAATGATTTTACATGTGATACGAGATAAGCTATAAGCAGAGTGAACATCACATACATGTGGCGCATGCTGTGTGCATTTACGTGTAAATGTACATCAATGCATGCAGTCAGAAAACACACTAGACTATCACCACAGATGAATTCAGATGAAAATGTGACAACTATGAACACTGAATAAGTGTGATTCCAAATTGTATATAGGGACCTAAATGTTGAAGCAAAATGTCCGAAAAAGTGTGTAACTGTTTTGGTAAAAAAAAGGTAAAAATGCAGAGAAAAAAAAATTGCAGAGAAGCAGTGCAGAGAAGCAGTCCTTTCCCACATAATACAATGTCCCCAATCCAACTTCATGTTTTTTATAATGTATTATTACATGTAATCACGGTACACAACTACAAATTACAATGCAGTTGTGCCTTTTATGAGACAATTTTCAAAACGAAACAAGGCAAGCCAAGTAAAGCTGGCCTTAAGAGTGAGCAAAATTCTATTGATGAAGTCTTTTCATGCATCTGATCTATGCAATGGGCCAGACTTAGCCCATTCATGGGCATTACAGGGTAATCCTATATGATAGCACTGCCCGGCTCTCAAGTGCAAAGAGGACCCTAGGCTGGCTCTTTGGGACCGGCAAAAACTGTTAGTAGAATTATGTGTTAAAAAAAGCGAACAAAAAAACTCACCTGAGAATTCTATCCAATTATCAAGTTATTTGCCAGCATGCCTCTAAACCAATCTAACACTAGGCTTCTCCCGACTCCTGTTGCTAGGCAACCCAGCTGTTAGCGCCTCCTTTTCATCACATGACACCAGTTCAACTTTGCCTTCTTTTCCTATAAGAAGGTGGCATGAGTTTTGGGGGCGGGGTCACAACAGAAGGGGAGGGGGTTTGCATTGTGGTGGACATGGATTGTGGGAAGGGAGCAGGGAAGAGGGAATGATTATAAGCGATGAATAAACTGAAAATAATTGGATAAAGTGTTGCTGTAAAATGTATGGCTTCAAAAGTGCAGCTTGCAATATAATAAGCCAAATTGGTGCATATTTGTTACTTCAATATATTAGATAAAAGTACTGCTTGTTGCTTGTGCAATGTAGCAATTCTCTTCAAATGCATCAGCAGGGCACACAAATAACAACGTTATTCTGGGTAAAAATACAAATAAAATGGCAGTTTGTAGAACTAAGGCTTAAATATCGACTCTATGGAAGCAGTTGGAATATAGGATGCCATTTCTACTTGATGTACATGCAGGTAGTTCTGCTTACATGTACATACAACTCAAAAGCAACATACATGACAAAGTGCAAGAAACAAAATCAGCATTTTGCAGGAAGAGGACCAAACATGGGATGCCCGCGGCCACTGAATGCCAAATGATGTTTGAACTCTGTGTAAAGGAAAATGCTCTACAGTGAGAAAGAAACATGTAGATGAATCAGGTTTGCACACACTCAGATGACAATTGTTTGTGTTTACTTTGTGCCATATTCAGGCAAACCAGTGCCTGAAAGCAAGTGACCTGTACTCCTGCACATGAAACTCCACTAAGTATGCAGTCACAAAACACCCCTACTGATAGTGCACGGAGTCCAAAATGACATGGATGATGAATTCAGCAAAGGTTTGGGGGATTTTGGGATCCTTTCTGATCATGACAACCAGGTGGTTAAATTGGCACACAAGACGGACTGACAAGGACACAAATACAAAGCCTGCATTGCTTATGAATGATTTATTTATAAAAAAAAAATAATCATGTTAAAAATACAGCATGAAAGCATGATTTTCATTTTAGAGCACATCAAATTAATTCACATTATTAGCCCTCCTGCCTCGTCTCAAACTGTCAAAAAAACCAACCCACTGCCTCTCCCATAGCTTTTGTACAGGCCGGTCACCAACTGCTGGAACCCTATGGATTAAACTACATAACTGTCCAAACCTGTTGAAGGGATTTGATGGATAGAGTGCCCTCAAATACTGCTACAACTTTTACTGCAATTCTATAGACCTTATGCACAGCAGCCATTGCCCTCTAATAGAGGGCAATGGCTTTGTTTTGCTGGGATGTGCACGAGTGAACCTGTTGTGCCTTCATTGTTACTGAATTAAATCAATCATTGCCAGGCACTCAGCAGGAGTTAAACCCACCATATCTATTACTGTCAGTCAAGGCATGGCAACATTGCCACAGCCTGTTAATTCTACCAATATGAGCCCAATTTACTAAACTGTTAAAACCTGCCGCTTGATTGATTTTGACAGATACATGTAGGATATCTACAGGTATCCATTTTGTCACTAAGACAGGAATGGTTAAGACTTCCTGGTTTACATGACATAAAGACCAATGACTCACGTACAGTTACACAAGACGAGTCATTTGGAGGTTTTTAACCTCTTCCTCTTGCTTCGTTTATGTAGTATGAACCAAGCGACCTATAGATATTGCTCATGTATGTACATGTACAAGTACATACATGTAAACATACAGTACAATAGTACAATACATATACTATTGACCTATCCCGTTAGAATCGCGTCAACGCAGCTTGTGAAATATTGTCCAATTACATGATATACAAATTGACGCGGAACGCGCAACATCTGAGCTGAGGTAACCACAACTTAGCGTACAAAAATTCCATAGGGTTGTCTAAGGGGCGTGGCTAACTCGCAAACAACGATAGGTCAATTGCTTTACACGCATCTGATTTTTTTTTTTTAAATGCATAATAGTCAAAACGCTTAGTACAATAATTCATTGTTGAATTGTGTCATAAATGATTAGGCGAAATTAAAAAAAACATGTTTAGCATCCCCGCCCGCTTCCTTTTTGGAGGCCGCCTCCTTTTTTCTTTCTTTTTTTTTAACCGAAAAAATTATAAATTTTCTACAGTGACGTTATTTTGGCCTCTTTATCTGTTGCATCTATCCCATATAAAGCTGTTATGTCATTTTCTGAGTCCAATGGCGGACATTTTTGGAGGGGGAAAAAAAAAGGGCCTCCCGTTTCCTTTTTTTCAAAAAGGCAGGACCCTAAACATGTTTTTTTTTTTATTTCGCCTTAGGCCAAAAAAATATTTCTGCTTTGGAATATCCTACCTACCCTATTTTGACAGCCCCTACCCTAATTTTTTTGAGGGGAAAATGAGGAGAAAAACCAAGAAAACATCAATTGTTACCTTTTAGTTTTACCCTCTACTGCACAGACGCATCCATATGACGGTGCACAAAATAAATTGCCCCCCCCCCAAAAAAAAATTCCCTACATGCCTACATTGTACCACATTGTCGGAAGTAGAACTAATTTTTTTTTTTTGACCTTGTGTACAATTATTCATTGTTGAACCAAAACCACCCGCCAGCAATTTCTTACTTTTACTTCCTGTTTCAAGTTTAGCTTTTGTTGGCACAGAAATGACTAACCCATGACCATGATGACCTACAAATTTATCTGCAATATCAGAAACTAATCTGTTTGTTCCGTAGTCCATAGTATATGATACGTACATGTATAACACACATGGCACACACAAATATGTGCACATAACATCAAAATATGACTGAATCTACAGAAAATAATACATAATATAAACATGCAACAGTATGGAAAAATACATCAATACTTAAAAAAAATATGCTGTAAAGCTTGTCTTTCATAAATATAAATTAAGAAATATATATCTCTGAAAACATACATGTATTGAACACTTCATACATGTATGTACTTCATTACTATGTGTTTTTACAAATGTACCTTGTTATAAAATGTAACAATTAAATAAAATATTTTCTTGCTATTACACTGTTTTAGAGATTAAGTGTTACAAATTGCATTTTTGTTCATTTCACTGGGTTTTTTTACTGCTACTCCCATGTACATGCATAAATATTCCTAAACTTGTACATGTAGAGGTTGAACTTTGGCCTACTTTTCATGGGTATAAGGGAGGTGCCTACATGTCTTCATTTGACAGTTGAAAAGACCTCTGAGTTCTTGTGATCGACTGATGATTTGTTCAACTACAACTTTTCTTAACAATGATATGTTTTAGCACCAAATTTTTACAGCTGTATCCAAGCAAGCTGAGCGTGTGTACACATACATGTCTAGAAATAGTTGAGAATGTTTAGAGCATGTTTCCAAATGTGAACATTGGCAGCAAGGCAAGCGCATGTATGGACACAAATGACATGTTGCATGATCTGATGACTGTGAATGCGATGTTTAGATGAGCATGAAAACAAGTGCTTACATACAGCTAGGGCACAGCACAACATGACAATGATTCTTGCTAGGCTTGGGCGACTCCAAGTCATAATCGAATAGAATCGATTCCAAAGTTGGAATTCCCAATCGCGATTCCACTTTTTTTTAGCAAATCGATTTCCCAGTAGTAACAATTCAATTCTCCCCAGAATGGATTGCAGACACTTCAAATTGTCACTGGAAGTCTGTCCTCGCTGAGTGATTATTCTAAATGGAGTTGTACAGGTAACACCTGTTTGGAATTGGAATCGATTTAAACATTTTGGAATTGCCCAAGCCTAATTCTAGCTCTACTACTACAAGTGTACACTCAAAACTCGACCATTTCCGTCCAGTTGTGTGCGTCAATGGTCAACACACGGACTCGCTTCATAGTAAAAGACCGCCCCCTACCTTTACTGACTCCGCCCCTGGTGATCTCATTGAGTTCGTTGCCCTTCCTTTTGGGGCTGTCTGTATTGACTGTCACTATGCTGGACTGGTAGCTGTTGTTTGTGCATGCACCGGCCGTGGAGGATACTCTTGATGAGGATTGCTTGGTAGGACTACCCTGCACATGCGGTGAGATGGCTTCGATTTCTGGAACACTGCCAAAGACAAAAACAACACTTGCTCAGAAGCAGAAATCTCTCTTTGATTATCATTTTGTGCTTTACTGATTTCTCAGTATAACAAATTAAAAGTATAAAATTAACCAAAACGTCCTAAGGGCTCTTTGGGGGTCAAGGACCAAATACCACAGAATACTACAATGAGTTGTGCACACTTGTATGGAAAGAAATGCATACTACAGGTTACTACTGAGTAGTATTTTGTAGCTTTAGGTGAGGTTAGGGTTAAATGTCAGAAGTGATAAATTATGAGATATACAATCGGAGATGGGCCGTCAGCTTTGATTTACATTGTATCATTTCTTGCACATCATTTCATTTTTCAACATTATCACTGTTACTCCTTCCAGAAGACCAGGATTGACAGTTGTTAACCATCAACTATAAAACACAGCTGTAATAAGTCACACATGCATCCTGTAAAATAGGACTGCCTACCTGCTGGTGGTTTCAATCGCATTTAAGTTGGTTTTCCTCTCTCTGAGTTGTCTATCGATGCGATTGAAGAAGTCCATCTGAACGTCTCTGGTTTCATCGACGACGACTGCATCCTCCTTCTTCTCTTCTGAATCTGCCTCCTCATCTGAGCTGTCAAACAAGACCGTGTCTACTGCCACTTTGTGGACTGGGCTTCCGTTTGCCCTGTCAAGAAACAGTCCAATCGCAAACTTGTGATTTACTTATAATTATTTTGACAGAGGGCAGGGCTGTGTTCAACTTGACCACTTACAGTGTTGACCCTTCCCAATCACTGAACATTGGTAAATCACCTGGAATCTTATTGAATAGCATGGTAAGGGTTTAATTGATTCATCATGCTAATTTCTTAAAAAGATGCATGACTGATAGAAAACAAAATTAATGGATCTGAAGTCATAATCGTTTCATTTGTGCACATTAATTCATCAAGTAACGAAAGTGTTTCGAGAGCAACAGGGAAGGATATTTACCTTGACGTTGCATTCTCAAGGACATGAGCTGGAAGTGGTTGGTCACCAACAGGAATGCTGAGTGTTGATCGCAGGAAGATACTATCGTTGGTGTAAAGTTTGTTGGCTCTCTTAATTTGTTCAACCTAGTAATAGAAGAAAAATATATAGTTTAAGAAGAAACTGTAACCAGGCAAAGGTCTGTCTACATTTCCTTTTCTTCAAGTTAAACAGGTTTTATCATTCCAGAATGCTTCCTGCAATCTAAACCTCTGCAGTCCTTCCCTCTTTTCAATAGTGTTGTTGGTACCAAAAACTAATAACCCACTCTCAATACACAAAAAGATACAATCATACACATAGTCTTATAACATAAAAAAAAAATGACACTTTTGTTTCCCCCAACCTGATTGTTTACAGTAGGCAATAACAGTGTTTATCATGTTTATATTTGTAATTTGGGCCTACTGTCATGACTGTAAATTTGTACACATTATTTGCTGATCATGTATCTACGGGCCCAGTTCCCATAAGGGAACAAAATCCACCAAACTAGTTGGCGACATTAATAACATGCACCTATGTCGTACATGTAAATAAAGGGAAGACTTTTTAATATTTGAGGGAAATTTGAGGGGTAAAATGACGATGACAATGACAAAACGCAACACGAAAATATAGATGACAATCACCCCCCGGTATGTACCGTGAACGTGCAGGCGCGCTGAATCGCATGGCACCAACCGTAAACCGCGTAGGAAATCGTAATTTTCACCCCAAGAAACCGTTAAAAAATTACCACAAAGGTGTCACTACATTGAGAGAAGTCTGCTTTAGGTTGAAAATGTCATTTGTTAGTAAAAAAAAAAAAAAAATTCTTGATTCTTATTTGATCGAAACAAAACAGGGGGCCTAGGCTACACTACACGATCGCCGACTGACTTTCCGCGTTCTCTCTTGATCAAGTTGAATGCGTTAAAATGTGGACGGATATTCCTTTTTATAAACTCGACTTACCGATACAGAGTATTTCAAAGCAATGCCCGCAAGCGTATCATTTGGCGTGACAATATGTTTGATGTAAATATCTTGCGTGGATTTCTTGGTGCTCCCGTACGACCTTCCGTACGACTTCTTCGTAATGCCTAGAAGCGACTTTTCACCGCCCTTTTGCGTCTGGGTAGACATGGTTTGCGGCGATTCGTCTGCAACCCAAAATATGCGTCCAATCGTCCTCAAAACAATCGAGAAATATGAAGGAAATTACTCAATCCTAAACTGTGCGATCACTTCCCTTTCGCTGCCTAGATTGCTATTAATAGGCTGGTATATTATATGATAGGTATGGATTTATATATTACAAAGACAGGACACCAGACGTATTTTGGGTTATTTTCCGGTTATTTGTTCAGGGCGCCCTCTGTCGAAATTCCTTTGTTAGTCAGAAGATAAAAAAAAAACTCTCCAAAAAGCGGGCACTGTACATAGCGGAAATTTATTATTTTCTTCAAGGTTTTACACTTATTGGACTTATTTAGGCTCATAATGTTGAGCCAACTTTCTTAGGTGCGGTTTGAAGAGTGTACCTCTTTATGAATTTAACGTCAGCTAACCTCAAAATAAAAAGCTCAAAATGAAAAGATGATGTCCTCTTGGTTATTGGAGCTTCTTTTTTTCCTTCTGCGTACATTGCTTACATCCAATCGAGGATGTGATCGGCATCATGACCACGGGCGTATGTGTGTGATATCTGTGCTTCTGAAGATAGCGCCACCATACGTGACACTCTAGGATATGATAGCTCAGCCTATAACAGTAATCCAGAACCAGTGGGTTTTTTCAGGGCGAATATCCGAGGGCGCTATTTTTAGGACCACATATTGACCGCATCGTCAGGTTTTTAGTGGAAATCCTCAGTGTTTTTTTTTTTCAGGGCGAATATCCGAGGGCGCTATTTTTAGGGCCACATATTGACCGCATCGTCAGGTTTTAGTGGAAATCCTGTGTGGGTCATTTTGGGGGTCGAGATCCCATAACTTTCGCTACCCAGCTGCCCCTCCCCGGTTAAAAAGGAGACCCAGCTCATTAAATTAACTTGACCCCCTCTTCAGCCATCTTCTTTATAAATCATCCCACTAAGTTCAACAGCTAAACTGGCAAGGATTCTTAGGCTTAATTTTAAACCTTTTTTATAGACATACTCGTTTACAAAAGCTCAAAAATAATGGACTTTAATACACCTTCATTATAAACTATTCACACTGATTTATTTCTTCAGTACATTGCGATTCTGCGCTCATAATATTCAGGCACAAGGACTTCAAATATATCGTTTTTTGTCTTCACTTTAATAATTACACATTTTCCAATCTTTGAGGTCAAGACATAAAATGTCCCTCAACGAACACAAATCGAGAGAGTGATTTTTTAATTTTAATTCTTGACGAAACTAATAATGAACGAAAGGTATCATTTTTAATTCCCAATTTTGAATCTGAGATAATCGTTTCACTCGTGTGAGAGTTAGTAGGTAATTAATTCTGCTCCAATTGGTTACTACCATTAGTGCATTTCTGTATGCAAATTCAACCAACGGTTCCCTGATGAGGATAACAAAATGATCAATTATCAGTTATCAATAATTATTAAGGTTTGTAACTACAATTGGTTCTAACTACTCTCAACGTGGTGATTTAGGTGAAACTTTTTAATGAGTATTATGTACAGTTTACTATGGTGCGGTGATCTATGCATTTAGCGTGATTACAATCAGCTGCTGTGAGTATATTTTTCAGTATTAAAGTGGGATAATAAGCTATACACGGTGACTATATCATGGTATAGTTTTCTACCATTCATTACACATCGAGACAGCTACACATTTTCGTGGATTACGGTGGTTTTCGAAACATCGGCTTCGTATCCGGCTGAGGCTCCATATATCTCAGGCTTCAAGATCACTAACTCAAAAAACCTATTACATATGTCTAAACATCCAGACTCTGAACTTTGGCCCCATATTACAGATTTGATCGTCCGGGAGCATTAATGGACCCATTAATATGAGACAGAGTTCTCCAAATCAGAGGTTTATCCCATCCCTTCAAACCGAAGCCGGTCAAGATGCAAAGGTTTCGAAAACAGCGCCCAAATCGCCATGCATCGAGTATACGTTTGCAATGCATTTACAGGCCATATATTTGCACCAGAAAGTATTTCCTATGGTAATAAATAATTGTATAATCATAGTCTGATCTACACAGGCAAGGACATAAGCTGTGGCTATGGTAAGTCTATACTACAACATGCATGGCTTGGTGACATATCTTAGAGATAATAACGTTTCTTAAAATACACTGCGAGCAGTAAATAATATAGATCTTTATTTTATAGGTTTTTTCCCCTCAATAAATTTGGTAAATTACAAATACGCCATTATTTACAACGCGTGCCGATTATGTTTATATAACTATGTTTATGTTTATTTAATAATATTCCGGCATTTATATACAGCGCAATTGTTTCCTGGCAAAATAGAAATCTTACTCTTTATTCCATGAATTACAGGCGAATACTTTGACTGCAAAATTGATCTTGATAGCTATAGCATGCTTGACATTTCAAGATCTTTAAACAAAACTAATCCAATTGCAAAGTGTTCATTAGCTTAATTCAGTATTTTGTACATGAACCCACAATAATACTTCCTACGCTTTTTCAGGCAGCGTTCTCAAACTTGTTGAACCACACATTGGATTCGATCTGGTGCATTTGGTTTCTGCTGATACTGTGTCCATTTTTTTTAAATCTTTACACCAGAACCCACTTGAATGAACCCGCTAAGTTCTAAATATTATTTGAGTACGCAAGCAGGCTAGGCAACCAAGGAGTCATGATGTATACAAGGGCGGATCCGGGGGGGGGGGGGGCCAAAGGGGGCCATGCCGCCCCCCAAAAAAAAGAAACCAATTTTTTGTTTATGTGACGTCGCAATAAAGGCAGGCAATGAGTACACCACCATCTTTTCCTCAAAAAAAATGGCTGAAGTGGTCAGAAATTGCCTCAGATCGCACCACAGAGCATCGAGAATCCAAAAAATGTTCTTAAGCGGGCCCCGAACCCCACGCCGTAATTTTTGGACCCACTTTTTGGGAGACACATTTTTTGTTTGCCCCCCCCCAAAAAAAAAATTGTGTTCTGGATCCGCCCTTGCATGTATATGGCTTGTAACTGGTCCTCGTCTGATTTGCTAACCAACAGGTTTCTTCTTAGCAATTGTATGTAATTGGATCGACCCATGCAGATCTGCTGCAACTTGCTACTCAAACCAAACCCCTCCCCATGCATATAGGTAGAGAATGATGGTCAAGAGTGACGTCATCCATGGTCATCAATAATTAAAACTGTCTAAAGGTCTAAAGCAGTACAGTTGCAATACTCACGCTATTTACAAAAGCCTTTGCATTTAACAATTTCGTTGTTTAATATTTGTTTGTTTTGTTTTAGCTGCATGAACGTTGATTGGTTTTTCGAATTCAACCAACTCTCCCGTCTTTATCAGGAAGTTTCATCATTACATGACATCGAACTGCATCTTTCAAATACTTCATCTGATTAATTAAAATGCTATATTCTTTCGCATCGGCCATTGCACGATAATGGAAATATAAAAATACAGCCGAAAATCTCTATTTAAGTATAATCAAATAAACGATAAATATATAAATAAACTTCTTCAAATGACATAGGCTAAGGCCAGTTAAAACAATGTGCTAAACTTAATTTCCAACTGATACATATTTCAAATGGCAAACGGCAACCACCCAATAATAAGATTTAAAACTATTGTGAGGAAAAAAGGTATGAAACGATCATTACACAAGGTGCGATTTTCTCACGAATGTGTAGATTTCTGGCAATGTTGTATTCAATTACTTTGAAAGAAGGTGAATGTGAGAGTATGAAACAGTCCTCTTTCGTTCCTCGAACACATTATTAAATGTAACACCTTGAGTACAAGCATTATTTCATCATGAATTATTGTTAAAACATAGCAGGTGTGACGTTCGCGAGTATTATGTTTCTTGTTTCATTAAGAAAGAATGTAGCTATTAAAGGAATGGGGAAAAAATTCACCTATTCACATAACGTATAATCAAGTGCTTGTGGAACCTACGAAAAAGAAACGGTATAAGAGTTATATACACATAGTGCAATCAACTGAAATAACACAAATGAAACAAATCATCATCAACAATTATACTCATATACTTATGTAATCTTACGAATGTCAATTAATTCACAGGTTCTTTAAAATGATGTTTTATCTATTTTTGTGATGGAGTAATATCTTCACTTTGACCAACTTAGACTAACGATCATTTAAACTGGATCACTTAAATCCTAAACATTTATGTGTAAATGGGGTTGTTTATCGTAAAATCACGTGCCGATATTCAAACTCAGTATTTACACTTCGATTGCATTAAAACAAAAATTAGATTGACGACTAATTTGTGATAATTTTTAATTTCTAAATTAAGAGTTGTAAATTTGTATGTATAGTTACGGTCAGCAAATCAAGGTGTTTTTTTTTCTTTTGGTCGTATTTTTGTTTTTACGAATGTTAGAACGTAAAATAACATGGATGTATTGAGATCCTCGGTCTTGGTAACTCAGGGCTTGTTGGAGTCTCCCTCCACGCCGTCCGTGTTGTGCTGACTCCCCGTTAGTTCCATCAGATCTTCCTTGGTGAGACCAAGCTCCTTAAGAAGTTCATCCGAGATCTTACCTGAAATCGCAGGGAAAAAATCAAACTAAATTTAAAGGAAAAATCCATTTTCCATAAAGAAAACAAAATTGAAACAGTACAGAGCCCATAACAACAATATGTGCCATTCCTATTGACGTTGTACGAAATGCTTAAAAGATGAATGCTTTCATTTATGCAAGGGGCGAAAATACCATGGCCTGCTGCAATAAGGCACTTTTAGTTTTACAACAAATATTCAAAATATAATTCCAAAGAAAATTTAAAGGAATGAGAATGATTGATCAGATTAAATATGTGTATTTTGCTTTTCCCCAAAACTTGTATACCACTTAACATGGACGAATCGGTTTAAAAAAAATCACTATCATTTCAAACGAACACCTTGATCCCAAGAGATTGGACAAAGGGTTATGAACGAGGTTTTATAATCAAAGCAACGCAAGAAATGCGTAAACACATCAGTAGCTCAAACTCTTGGAATAAAAACACACAATTAAGCAGGTGTAACTTCCAAGCCTCAAGACAGCGGCAATTCGTTATTCCGTAGCCGCAGGTGTCGTGATTACAAAATAAGGAAGCCCCTTTCACCTGTCACTCGCAACTAGAACCGAAAAATTCAATGCAACACCTGTAATCTAGAAATTACAATCCGATCACAGGCGTGATGTAAAAACCACAGAACCAAAAGTGAAACAACAAGGAGCCGCAACAAGCACACCTGTCTGACCTGATATCACCTGCCATTTCAGGTGTTGCATTGTAAACAAAAAGTAAAGGGAAACACCAGGGCAAACCGACACAACTCAATCAAGGTTTAGAAGGGGGAAAGAGAGATTGGGAAAATTCATACAATCTAACAAACCATTTTCCTTGTGGTCAAATAACCGTATGAACTGACAATTTTTTTTATTTACAATTCGTTCATAATAACTAACTCCGCACAGTTGTTTTAAAGTGTTTCTAGAAATACCGGATGGACTGCGTCATTTCTCAATTCGTTGGATATGCTCACTGTTGTTTTTAGGAAAGAGAAATCCTTGTATTCTTTATCTTCGTCTAAAAATTAGTGTGGCCTGACGTTGCGAACTTAGCAAGTTCTTCTTCAGAGGCTGAAGAGGCTGGTTTTTTCAGCCTCTGAAGAAGAACTTGCTAATTTCGCAACGTCAGGCCACACCAATTTTTAGATTTATATATTTCAGGTCCATCCAGTCAGTAAGCAGTTTGCAGCAGTCTTACTTTTTTTCTTCTTTATCTTCGTCTTAGGTTTTCGCTTTGTCTCTGTCTTCCACTTTTAAATCTTTCAAAGTCAAAATTAAATGGAAATACTCCAACAGTTGGCCACATATAATAGTAGTTACTGTTACTGAAGCGGATCGAGGTCCATATTGAGCTAAACTCTCACAAGGCAGAGGCTTAAAATCTCTTAAAGCAGAATCTGGAGATGAGCCAAAGGATTTGAACCCTCCCGCCCGGGCCCCCAATGACTCATTGAGACTGCACAAAAGCGCCTACTGGCATTGATGTTGACAAGCGCCACCCACCTTCATCCAGCAGCAAGACAAGATCCTCCAAGCCAGCGTTGGCAGTCTCTTCGTTCATTTCTTCTTCAGTTTCCTCATCAGCCGTTGCAAGCTTCTCAACATCTGTTCCAAAAAGTGAAATAAAAACAATAGTGTTAACAACAACGCTACTTGTGCTTCAGTCGTGTTTGTAATCAAGCTTTGCAGTCGACCTTTTGTTTTTGAACTTTTTTATTTAATATTTTGTATTTTACTCTTTTTTTAAACTTAATACAGAACTGTACTTATCATGGTCTACATCAAAATCTTGCTGAATTGTAACACTTTCGTTTCATGTATCTGTGTAATTTCTGAGACCTTTGCAAACACACTAATCGAAGTAACTAGCTCGATCATTGCTCTGAGAACCACAGTTTATAACACAATTGTCCTTTGGTCTGATATGCTCTCGGCGGTTAGCCTAGAGGGCCCATAACATGTTTTTCCCTACCCTGTCAGCATGCGAGTAAAGTTCTTCACACTTATAATTCACTTTCACATTAAGTCAATTGACATCCACCTGATTTCTGTTCTCAATCAGCCAAGCCTGAAATCTCATTCAGGCTGAATATACAACATCCACCTTACTTGACTGACCTTGAAGTGCCTTTTCGACTTCATCTGCTGTGTCAGGTTCCATCTCCAGTAGTTCCTTCTCCAGTTCCTCGTCTCCTGCTTCCTCACCTCCTGTCTCCATCTCTTGCTCCTCCTGCATGTTAACCATCTTAGCCACAGGACGCCCCTCTTCATCTACGACCACATCCTCCTCCGTGTGTCGCTCACCTCCCGGTAGCGGCTCGTCGTTTTCCGTCTCGTAGGTCTGGTACCCTTCCCCCATCGGAATTTCCGGGTACAGATTGGCGAAGGCCTCTCCCATCTCCTCCATCATCTCATCTGAGATGTCATCGTCTTGCCAGAAGCCCTCGGGTAGAAGCTGTGAAAGTATGTCTGTAACACAAACAACACAGGAAATCTAAAATGTTTATCCTTTATGTTGCTATAAAAGAAAGATGAATTTCGTTTACGCTGCTGCTGTTAGCAACCAACTTCACCGATTTGAACAAATCCCGTCTCGTCTCACCAATTATTCTTTCTCCTCTTGCTGTTGACATCTCTCCATTCTCAATTTGGTCGGCAATAATGTTGGCGATTTCTGCAAGTGCCATTGTCTCTAAAATAAAAAAGAATACAAAACTTTCGAATTAGATAACAGACAGAAGCAAATTATTTGTATCTATACGTTCGTTGGGTTGTTTATTCCTTTGTTCGTTTTATGAAGGACCCAAGGCAAGGTTTGCTGTTTATGTTTACATCTGGTTAATAAAGGACAACTTCATTTATTAAAACACAAATCTCAATGAAGATTTGCAGTGATAATTTACCTTCCGAGTACGGTTGTTGAAAGATGTCATAGTTCTCAACTTCGGGGTAGAAATCGGTGTCTTGGTACGGGAGGGCGTTGTCGAAGTAATCATCCGGGAAATAAGGGATGGGTCTGTTCATTATCTCATTAACCTGCCAAAAAAAAAAACCAAAACAAGAAAACAAAATTGATTATGTGCTCTGGAAATATTACTCGCACACCACTGACGTGAAGACACAAACATAAATCTTAGAAGTGATGCCCACATAATAAACGGCAAACGGAGAGCAAACGTGGATACTTTTCCAAATCCAGCCTCGATCTTCCTCAGTGTCAGACCGTGTACTCACGTAATCATTTTCGATGGGCTGTGGATTCTGAAGCTCCAGTGGATCTCCATACATCTCCTCATCTTGCATCAAAAGAAGCTGCTCCAACTCCTGGGATACTGCTTCCTTTAGGAAGAAGGCGTACTCTTCGCTGATCTGAGGAGAAGATCGTCAATCATTCATCAAAAAAGAAATGGAAAAGAGATTTCTGTGATAAAATGTCCGCAGAAAATGGCAGTTCAACAAGAGTATAATGCATAATGGAAAGATGCCATAGATACGAGTAACGGCACAAATAGAGATAATGTCAGCAGAATATACATAGTGAAAATGTTCACTTTGAGTATAGTAAAACAAGAAAAAAGGAAAGATTAAACCATTCGCCGCAAGAAAATGACAGTCCATTAGCGTACATTTCTGAATAGACTTTCCTTGAAACAGTTCCAACAGTTCAAATAAAATAAAGTTGAAACATTCCTACATTTCCGCAAAATATCGTTTCAAAAGGGAAAAAATAGAAATGACAGTTCAATTTTTTTTATTATCAATAAATTTGGCAAAGCCTTATTTGCTAAAACAAAAATCATCAAAATTAATGCTTCACTTACAAATCCCTGATCTTGCAGCATCTGTACTGATCGCAGGAAGCCTGTGACGTCATCAGTCTCCATGATGAAGAGCGCCACCTGAGCTGGGTTGGCGAGTTCCCGCAAGAGTTCCATGGCGTCTTCTTCGGTGAGACGGTAGTCTTCCAAGTCGTTGCCAAAAGAACCTGAAAATACGACGGAGAATTAGAAGAAAGCAAAGCTAATCCCACTTCTGCCACCATTTATGGTGACATATTCGGCAGCGTAAAGGGGCAGGTGTTTTTGGCAATTCGTGCTTACTATCTTGGAAACGAACATTAACAAAATAAATAACAAATACATTTCGTGTTTCATGTAATATATTTTTGCTGGTCCCAGAGGGCCAGCCTGTGGTCCTCTTTAAATCTAATGACTGACTGACTGACTCCCCGACTCCCCGACTGACTCCCCGACTGAATGAATGAATGACCCATTCACTGAGTGTCACCTGTGAGCTGGGCAAGCCGGGCAGTGCTATCGCATACCTCTTAACGCCAATTTCATTCCATTCGGAATCAATTGAATAGAAATTTCTGCGCTTTTAGACCAGCTTTACTGGAAATGCCTTGTCTGGTTTAACTTTTTAATTGAAAATAACTCGTGATATCAAACGCATTCTTCTGCAAGGGCTATAAGTATTTTATTGCCTAAAATTTGAAGCCAACTGTTGATGTTAATATGTTTTGTAATAAGCTGTCATTTCTCTAATTGGCAAGACTGAAATGCATCGGTAAAAAACTGAGCTTGTGAGAATTGGATGCATACCTGTGTACGACGGCTCATTGTTGTCATTGGTGATGACACTGTTGTCATCGGTCTCGATGTCCTTGTAATTTGTAACTTCCTCATTTGGTTCGATTGTGTCTTCCTTTACATCTGTCTCATCAAGTCCTGAGCCTTCTATAACCTCTGTCGCCTCTTTCGACACTGCATCTTCTGTCCAATAAATTTGACATAAGATTATTAAAAAAGGGCTTTTTCTTGAGAAGGTCGAGACCTTTACACCAAGCATTTGAAAGCAAATCCTGGTTGGAGCCGATTGCGCAATATTTGCAAAAACAAAAGTTGATTCTCTTTATGTGTCTGATTTATTAATATTTAAAAGACCTGAATAATCATCTGACAAGGTTGTACATTACAAATTTTCATTCTTCCTTATTCATTAGTAACAAACTTCAAAACCTCCACTTCAACTTTACGACTTCCATTTTCAGAGAAGCTGTTACATAATTTTCATCTGCATCGAAGACAGCCGTATGTACATGAATTTGTAACGATGACTTGCCCTATATGAAACGAACCTTTTGTTTCTTCTGAAGATTTCTCCTCTTCACTACTCTTGCTTTCCTTCGGTTCTACTCCCGTCTCCACTGTATCCTTAGCCTACAAGAACAAATAAATACAAATACATTCTACATTTACGTACAATTGGAGATCTCTCATTAACTATTGGAATTCTCTGTCACGTCAACAAATTTGAACAACAAATAGCAAATGTGGCCATAATGCATGACTTTTTAGGCACAACTGCTGATGGGTAACAAAAGTGATTTCATTGAGAAATGTGTATATTTCAGAACGTACATAACTAAAAGGTAAGTCTGAAGCGCCTATAGGGACAGATATATCGCTGTAACAATTCGTCTTTTTGTAAATCTCCGTAAGGCCTCTGAAAAAAAAGAAACCTGCAGAACGTGCACAAGTATCTGCTCTCAAAGTTAGTAAAAAGCCAGTACGCGCACGGTTCATGTTCACCGGTCTTCTAATGTTACAGCCACTTGTAATGCTACACCACAGAGTGACGATCACCTGCTTGAAGACGATTGTAATTAATAGGCCACATAGGCATTCTTGAGATCTACCGCCTTCATCAGAATGAGTGCTATCGTCAGTAGACGAAGTTGAGGGAGAAAAAAAACGTACATTCTACTTTTAAGTTCGTTAAATATTTAAACGATCGACGATAATAAAATCAGTCATCCATGCCAAATACCCGGGTTATTTCCGTATAAGTGTCTTTGAAAAAAAATTCCAAGCAATAACCACAGGGTCAATTAGTCATACCATTTTTTCTGATATGAATAATAAATCCAAATGGTGAAAATGAAATGCAATTGCATCTATCGTATGCTAAGACACTTTGTTTCGTGCGGCAACATTTTGTTATGTTCTCCAAACTTGTCGGATTTGGACAGCGCCCCCATTAAAAGTATGGTACGAGCCCCCCCCCCCCCCACCCCAACACCCACACACCACCGATTGATTTGACGGAGGCCAAGTGTGCGGAGAAAATTTTTTTTTTCTACATTTCAGCATTGATTTGCTGATGAAACCCCCCCTTCCAAAAATGCCTGGATCCGCCGCTGTAATATCAATAAAAACATCCTGTTTTCACATTTAGGTGTTGTTGTTACTGTGGCTCGGTGAATGCTTTTATTGTTTTCGGATGACATAGCTGATGGCTTTTTTAACTCAAAAAATTCCCCCTTTTTATTTTTTTGTAAATGTCCAGCTTTGAATCATACCAAAGACGATATACGGTTTTAATTATAAGGACTTCATTGGTGTCACGAGCACACAAAACAAAACGAAACGAGTTTGAAGTCGCCAGAGCTATTATTTTGGAACACTTGAACAAACCTTCCACGCTGGAAATCAATTATTTGAAATGTCAACGAGTTTACCCACAAAATGTTCATATTCTACAGGATGTCAAAATGCATTACACTCAAATAACGGGCTAAAAAAATAATAAGTTCGCTCTCTAATGCATACAAAAATGCAACATGTAAGTGAAAAATGACCCTAAGTCTCATTCTGTGGGATATGGACGCATTAACCTTTCCTTACAACACCATTAACATTTTCTGCGAAAATGGCATCAATCAAAAACCGTGGGTACAATATAACCGGTCAATTTATTGTCCTGTACAACCTGCCCAAAAGGCCATCCTCGTTAATCTAGTGGGAAATAACGAGTTGAAACTCTATCCTATGCATTAGCGTTACGTGGGTGGCGATAACAAGAGTGCTAGATGAACGATACAAATGAAACTGAGGTCAGTGCAATCAGAGTTCGCAAATTTATGAAAAACAAGTGATGGGTTAGTGACTCCTAAATCGTGTTTGTTAACCGCTGGAGCTTTTGCTAGTACGCACCGATGTGCCAATTTTGAAATCTAAAAATTGGATGTTAAACTGGGTAATATTTCAAAACCGAGACATTTATTTTTACCAAATAATTGACTGCAAAAATATATATGGTCTGTCAAGTAACATTAGGCCAGACAGGAAAAGCGTCACCAAAAACAGCTTAAGATCAGAACGGATGATGCACACCGTACCTACGCAGCGCATGACTTGAATTGTTGATGCTTTTTGATGCGGGGACTTGAGATATAAACACGAGATGATGAGACATGATTAATGAAGAGTTGTCTCTCCAAGGTGTTTGGATTCAGAATTCATCGGTATCGTGTTGAGAGAGGAAGGGACTGTAGGGAGTCGTGATGACAGCGATCTTATGTTGCCTGTTCATGCACTTCAAATTGGGAGACAAGTGACATATTATGAATGGGCGTGCAGCTAGCTTGGTGACGGTTCGAGAAAGGCCGTATGTTGACACTGGTGATCAACTTGCAGGAGAATCGACACGAGACATTAAGGAGTTAGTAAATTAAAACTGCCATGTTCACTGCCGTAACCCATCACTTATACAATATGTCTAAATCATTAAAGGGGTTATGCACCACGAACAAGACTTAGTCTTGCCACTGAGAATATACTGAATCTAAGGATGGTACAAGCAGTACTTCTCTTCACTTCTAGTTATCGCTCGTATAGCTGTTACCCATTATGGTTGTGTGAATCAGGGAAACATTACAGGACCCAAAAACTCGAAGAAAAAAATGAAGAATGACAAGGGAAAAAAGGCAGGAGTAAAAATAGCATTCATCGTTTTCGAAACAGAATTCGAACCAGGTAGCGTATATACTACTGATATAGGAAGCTTTTTTCCAACCCATGCAAACAACACTTCTGTAGCAGGAGTTCGATCACGACCTGTCTCTTTTCTTTTGTCATAATGCGGACATGATTCTAATGAGTTTTGCGATTCTTAACCTGCAATATGTTATTCGTGACACTCATAATACATAGATGTCCACCCACAGTACTCTGACTAAAGCTTTCACTCGTCAACATCACCCACGCTACACCTATGGGCATTAGCTATGATTAAAGTACGCCTACACACGCGCCTTGATCATATTCCATTGCAAATGACACACTACAAGCTAGCTGCAATGCTGCATTGAATACGGTTCATGAAATGAAAACTAACTGATGTGTAACGATTTCCAATGGAAAAATACATCCTCCAAAGACAAAAACAAACAAAGGAAACAGACAATACAATAACTTTAAAAAGTCGAACGAACTCCCCCCCCCCCCAAAAAAAAAGAGTTGAGAATTGTAAATTTCAAGAAAGAACACGGAATTGGTATTTTTTTTTGAAAATGAATTTTATTTTATTAGCGAATGCGCAGCTGCAGGCATATTATGGTGAGATTTAACAGATGAGATTTAAAAAGATGGAGCATGAAAAATACTTTTGATGTCAGTGAAAACATTAAGGAAACAAGGCATTATAATGTAGCATCCAACTGCATGCAATTTACAATTCGTTTGTACATGCGCTACTGAAATTTGAATGTATACGTGTCTTTTTTCTTTCCATTTAGATATGGATTTTGCTTTGTTCTCCCAAGGTCTCAACGAAGCGTTATCAAACTAGAGCAAAGAAAATATGAAATACAACTTAATAATATTAAAATATAAGATTTAATTATCAGTGCTGCTTTTTCCTCTCTCCGCGTGCTGTGGTTCCGAGGACTCGATCTTAAATTTCCAACTCTGTCATTGTGATTAAATCATCGATTTACCTTGAAATTTCGACCCCGCCGATGCGGGCAACTTGGACGCACGCGCCTATTTCTATAGACACAATAACAATTTGACCTTGATGATAAGACACGTACTCAAATGCTGTTGCCTTGCTCATGCTGAACAGGTAAATGACAACAATTGATTGTTACCATAGCAAAGGACTCAAATTTCCATATAGGGCATTTTTGAGTGCAAAGAACATATGGTGCTGATATAGGTACTTCATTTACATGCTATTTCTAAAAGCACATCCATCCAAAAGAATTATTCTTAATTACGGTAAAATGTGAGTATAGTGCTGATTTCATTATTTTATTTGTTTAATTTTAAAATAAACCACAACAATTATTTTATTTTAAGTCTATTTATTTGTTAAACAGCACAGCAATATATTATGTATATTGAACAACGATTTGAAATGTGTTTCATGGACTATTACATCAAACGATTAACATTGTTTTGATATCTGGTTACGCCTGGCTAGCTCAAAAATATTTCAGAGAATGTGGAAGACAACTACGAAAAGAAAACAATGTACTCTCTGGTCTTTGCCTATATATTTGGTGACAACGCAATAATCTCAAGTGCACGTTTTCCTGAAGTTAATGTTTCACTATCGTTCCAGTTTGATTGTATCTGAAAAGTTACCAATCGGTGGCAGTTCTATAGCTCTTTGCTTCCTGACAGTATCACTCAATGAACGTAAGATAAGGCGCCTCAGTTTGAAAGCCGAATAACATGCAATGCTATAAATAATAATGTGAACATACAGTTTGTTTTGATAAACTGTCGTTTTCAGCAGTCAGACTTGCTGAGCTATATCCCACTTGTTTTTTTTGTCAATTTCCCTCCCTAAGTATTCCTGCAATCAAGCTCAATAGCAATCATGACGATATTTTATTAAATGTCTCTTTTGACAAACATGACATTTCCGAACACCGCCCTAACACACGTCAAGGCTCTATCGATCCTATTATTGTGAGTCGTCACTCCCTTTGCCCTTTAGCTTATCAGCGCTCAACCGTGTATTGTATTTTGTAATTTGAAGAAATTTTCAACTGGGTACGTTTATTTTAGGTAACGTCGAGATACAACAACGATGAATCGAACGGAAACAACATTTTGAACGAATTGAGATTATATTGCGGTTTGTATAGAAACGCAAACCAATTCAATCTGAACTACTGGCTATATAACCTAATAGAGTACATGTAATACAATTGACGAGTCGAGTTAAAGAAAAAAATATCCGTTTTGAAACATTAAATAACAATTGATATTGTTAGCAATAATGTCATCATGGTGATAACCTTTTAGAGAATACCAAATCCCTGGACAGTTAATAAATTAAACAATGATATTTTTAACATAATCCCTATAAACAAATTACCGGTAGGTATAAAACGACAAACCGTTCGACCAAAATATGAATTTACACCCCAAGTTTCATTGAATTGCCAATCCTTAAGAGTTTTGCCTTGTATCCATATGGATACCTTGTAGAATGTGACAAGGGCTAAGTTAAGTTCAAATTCCCGCGCCAGCTTTTATATATAATGGTCGAGGAAGACAATCTGTTTAGGTAAGGGTTATTCCAAAACAGAGTAAAACAAAGTGAAGGAAATCGATACCATGGAAGTATTGGCAAATTCAGCTAGAAGTAGGCCTAGTATCTAGCAATGCCAAGACTCCTTGCCCAAATTCCTCTCCGAGCCAATTTGATGGCCTGTTAGTTTCGATCTATTTTGTGCGTCGCGTACTTTGATAAGCTATCGATCTTAAACACGTTTGTCCCAGACAAAAGGGTCGAAAACACATCATTTTATCACGTCAACATTTCATCTATGAAGATTTTAGTTTTGATCGGGTGAAATGCAATCGCAACCAAAAACTTCATTTGGTTCGTAGTGAAAAGAGTATAGACCGCACTTGGTATGAATGTGATGTGCGATTTAGACAATATTATAAATATCGACGATGAAAAAAAAAAATACGGTTAAAGCTAGAGGCGCAGTCATGGGAGACAACGATGGAGTTTAATTGCCGGTTTTTCCTATGGGACACCGGCTTAGACGAAATTCGATTTTCTGACATTTAACTCTTTAAGTCCACAAGGAGAACCTCAAAGCTGCGGGCCGAATGGATGGCGACTCGAGGGGTTATTATGGAAGATTTGTCCGGGTCAGATGCCGCAATTTCACGGTCAGTGGGGGTTTTGCGGGCAAACAGGCCTCGGCAAATATTATACTCAATTACTTTCTTCAGGTTTTTTTTCTGGAGTTGTTTAATCAACTGTTTTCATTCTGTTTGTAAATCGAGCAATACCTCAGTGCACCCGATGGGTTTACTTTTGTTCCTTCGCAATCACCAACATTCTACGTCAATTTGCCCGTTTCTCTCCGGCAATTTATCTCAATCGTCGATAGTTTCATGGTTCATCACGTGACCTCATTGTGGATATACAGCTTGTTTTTTTTAAACCAAGGATAACGTAGATAAATTAAATTATGTCTGTAGTTACCACGGGAGACGACATTTATTTCATTCTATAACAATTGATTATGTTTAAAGAAAGAATTGCACAAGTCAATATACAATATTAATCTGTTTGTTGTATATATACGGAAGACGGATAGTGCCACTCAATGAGTGTGAATATATTTTTTTGGTGCGTGTGAATGTATTTTTTGGGTGCCACTTATTATCTGGCGTACAAAAAATATTTCCACACGTACCAAAAAAATATATTCACACTCATTGAGTGGCACTATCCGTCTTCCGTATAGGCCTATATAGCACAAAGTTAAGCTCAATGATTAACATACTGCAAAATTAATTTCTCATTTACTTGATGAAAAAACAAACACAAGTTTTCAAGTTGAATGTAAATGGCAGAGGAGTTTTAATCAACTGAAACATAAACATAACTTAAGCATCCGTTTGAGGTAACATACATATTAATCAAACGTTGACATCAATTTCTGGGAGCAATTTCTATGTTCATTACAGCTGCAGGCCATATTATGCACGGCTCGCTCAGTTTTCTTCCTGAAATGAACCGGAACAAAGCCCGATTTCACACATGATCTGCAAAGTGCTGAAGGAACACTATCCAAGACGTTTTATAACAAGCTGCCATCTGCCCTAACGCGCTCCAGACGCGGAAAGGTACAACGCATTAGAGGCGAATAAACCAGCCAGAAACCTAATGACATCCGCGATAATGTGGTTGCCATGACAACATATGTCGCTTTTAGTGACGTCAGTTACAGCAAGGAAAACTAACAACCGAAACAAATCCCAAATCTTGGGACAAGATCAGTAAGAGAGAGAAGTTGGTATTCGGTGGAAACCAACTCAGAAATCTCTTAGAAAAAGTAACACCTGTCTTTGATCGATATCACTTAGAGGTACAACTGATTTCACGCATGTGAAAAATTTCAAGCTTGTTGTGGACACCAAAGCTTGGCTGGGTTTACGGCTTCAAATCCCCCCTAGATTTCATCAATTAAGGTGGATTCTGTCCAGATCGTGGGCGTATTTGTGTCTTCTGCTGCGAATCTCCGCGTGTTTTGGAGTGCTATAGCAGCGGCATTTTGTCCAGAAGGCTGGCTAATTTTCCTCCGAGATGATTTAATGAAGTTGCTTGACCGGACGCATGCTAGACAAAGTTAATTACACGGACGATTTTGAAGTTGAAACTTGACACCAAAACATGAGGAGTATGAATAGAGATTGCGAAATGGTTTGGTTCGCCAGAAAAATATCAGACTTGTTTTTTCAATCAAAAGACACACCCATAGTCCCATACTCTATACACAAGGAAAATGTCATGTCATGAAAAACACATCAAAACATCATTTCGAAAACACTATCGCAAGCATTGTACACATCCTATAGAATGTATCATTTTATCCGAAGCAATTTCAGAGGTAGAAAATTGATCTTGGCGATGCGTGCCAATGATAAGAGTAATTTGATAAATGCAGTTACATCAATTTCAAGTATATTTTCAAGAAGAAAAATAGTTATGCTGTAGTTATACAGGGCAGATTGATTCATTACCACCTATACCTCAAGATGCAATTGGCTGCCGTAAATGGACTTTAAATTAAAATCCGAGGACCCATATACGCGGTACTTGAATCGTTCATGTGTAAATTTGTTGCGCGTGTAATTTACGAAAAGATGAGAACATAAAGGTAAAGGGGTGCATTTTATGTTGGAGGTCGTGTCGCATTAACACCATGCTTAATATGTTTTCAGGCAGATCCACCCATGCATATCCGAGCTTGTATTACGATTATGCTTGGTCCCAGACACGTGGGCAGCCAAGATCCGGATTGAAGACCGGATATATTATTCGTGCACACGGGCTGAGGTTGTGAGCAATTTTTTAAAAACATCAATCTTGATATGTTGAGTTTGCAAAAGAGCGAAATTATGAATTAAATTTTTGGTTATCATTCGCTTGAGGAAGTCACTCATTTTGGTATTCAATAAAATTCATATAGTGAGAGTGCTATACTTCAATTGATGGCAAAATAATACTCACTTTTGTAAGGCCCGAATCTTCTGATGTTTCCTGTTTTGTATCTGAAACAAAACAAGTGAAGAGGCAGAATGGTAGTTAATTAAATTAAATTTAAAAGAAAACCGAAGTGTTATAGATTACACTTGTAGGTAACGCACAAGGACTTGGGTGCATGCGCGTCGCCAGGATTTCTTCCAGAGGGTTGCAAAGATTTCCCTAAATCCTTGTACATTCTCTAGCATGTTCTCAATTTATCAATTTTTCGAGGGTGGGTTGGGGGATTTGCGGGGGGCACCCACCCCCATTGACACCCCTGCGGACGCCCATGTCCGCATGGGTTTTTGTTTTGTTTTGTTTTTCCTTTTTTCCTCTTTTTTTTTTTTGGTTGCTTTTCCTGCAAGAACGGCCCCTCCTTGCCCCCCGCGACTTCCATGCTTTGATGTACTCTACCATTTGGATTCTTACTAATATCCAATGCTATCAAGAGAAAATACATGGGTTTCAATTTTTACAGCGCTATTCATCGTACTGTAAAACATACCAAATGTCTCCTAAAATAAAGGCAAAGCCAGTTGCAAAACAACAAAGCAATTAAATGTTTCACTATTAAAGAAAATACTATGCCAGCTCATTTTCTCCATCGTGTGTTATGGTAATTTCGATTGGTTTACTATTTTTGGAAACAAGGCTATTGCAATCGGTGGTGAAGTTTATACCCGTATTTGCACACGGATATAAAAAAGTACTCTGTCATGTTTAGTCTGTCTATAGTTTTTGTCAGGTACTTAAGCCTCGATCAATATCGAATCTCATGTATGACAGTTGAAGCTTCTGCAAACATGTAGCACGGTCAGATCTTAACAGTGACGATTATCGAACGCATTTATGATTGAAGAGACATTTTAATACCATTCGTATAGGATGAGATTTTTACGAGCTGGAGCGCTGTCTTTATTTATACAGACTGTCTGAGTCCTCTGGTGGTGGCCGAGCTTTGCAGTCATGCACGAATTACTTGCGCATTGATTGCGAATGAACACCGTGTAATATCGATTGAGTGTTAGTTCTGTGTAAATTCATCTTATATTGCCCTTTCTTAAAAGCCTCGTAAATTGACTAATGTCTCATCGTAAACATCATAGGGTTCCTATGTGGTATGAATCTTTCACTTAAAGGGTCACATGTGCGACTATACGCACGATCGTATAGCGCAATGGGATCCTATACCAAAATACATTTGAGGGACAGTCTCGATTCTTCGATGGGTAAGTCGTTTCTCGTTCCTGTGTTCACAGCCTCTTTGTGTTCTATACATTATTTAAAAGTGCGCGATTGGAATTATTTATCATAGTTCCTGTCTGAATTCTTATACAAATGGACGCGTGTCTCGAAAGAGGTGTCAAATACAACTTACAGCCTGCAATGGCGCCTGTGATGAGCGCAGTACGATCGCGCCTTAAGGCTCGCTAAAGGGATGGCGGTAAATTTAACTCAATGTGTTATGGTATGAATGTACAAACAAACCGCATTGCATTTTGCCGTGCCTTACTGCGTTATTTGACATCATAAATCCGACCGTAAGGCGATAATCAGCGAATAAACTCGGTCATAAATCCAGGCCATGCCTCAGAAAGTGCGCCCCAGACAGGTGTTAGATGTGCCGCCTCAAGCGGCAGTAGCGTACCGAAATACTCCAAGGCGTCACTTAGTGCGTAAGAGGCTCCTATTTTGGGCTTCATTTGCCACTGTGGTTCCCCCGGGCATGGTTCATCATCAATTGCGATATATATTCGCAAGGCAGATTCCCAGCTATTGAAATCAAATCTACGGCTGTTTTACGTTTTGAATTCTAGGGGCTAACTATAGACAGCAAGATCTCCCCTGAAGTAAATCGATGAATGTTGGATTGCCTCAATTATTCCATTAATGGCTTCAGGCTCACGCTGTTTATGGGTCAACACTCAGTGAAAGTAGGCCATACCAATCAATATTCCGCAAAAGACATTTTTTTTGCAAAATGCATTATTTAAAGGGATCATGCTCCACCAACTCTCCCGAAGAGTTTGAATGCATGAGAGGTTAGTTAGTTCTTAGTAACACAAGAGGGCCGGATTTTTTTCTTATTTTAATAGTAACAAACAATCTTGAACCTTGAATCCTGCCGTGATATAAAGACATTTAACGGATCTCCGAGAATGATCGGTAGACTTCTTTAATGGAATACATCCATTATAATAGTCCGTTGTACAGCATCATCACGCTGGGAACGTAGCAGGACGTAATGACGGACTTGATTGTGATCCGGGTGCATCAACCGAACGCGGCTTGGGTCCTTAATGAAATTAAGCAATTATGGTTCGCCCGTAGAAGCTAATGGCAGATAATATGATACATGAGATGCGGAAATATGCATTCTATATGCCTAAGTGGTTGGTGCAGTCAGCTGAAAGCCCAGAAATCTACCACAGCCACTCACTTTCTGATTCAATTTTACAAACGGTACCATTTTTGGTTTAGCATCTGTGTACGATTTACACATTATTATAATTCAGGGCGAGACAGCAACAAGTCAAATAAAATCAAAACTTACACGTCGTGCACTTTGGAAAAACATTTAAAACATTATAATTCCGTTGAAATACGGATACTGCATAGGCCTACTAACGTTTCTGCGCATTGGTATAAACGATACTGGTGACACAAAGGAAAATAAAATATGCCAACAGAATTATTTTCCACGATTCACAGAAATTGGATTGTTAATTATACCAAGTAACAACGCATTTTTAAAAATACAAGAAAGAAATATAACGCATCCCTTCATCGTGGTGTATTAAAAAAAATCGATGTTCTGGTTCAACTAGGTTAAAGGTACAGTATTATTTGTGGATTTGTTTCGTTTGAAGCAACAAAAGTGCTCAAAATCTAAAGAAGTGTGCTTAACAACTAACATGATGAAGTTTTTGCTCAGTGAATGCTGTAGGCCTACATTCCGAGAAAACAGTATTAAAAATAGCAGCCTGCCTGAAAGAATAATTTTACAGTGAGTTTAGTGTCATTACTATCTTTAAACCAAGTACGCTTTTCAACAAGAATTTCGTCAGTTACTTTGTCGATAGCTGCAAATGATATACTCTACCTTTTTATTGTCCTATTAGCCTATAAGAAAGTGCAGTGTTATATACAGGGTCGTTAGCCATCATTTTCATAATGGACATGGAGTTCAGATTAAGAAGTTGTCCTTAAGCGATTCTTTTATTTAATCCCCCGAGTCCTCAGGTAAGCTGTTTTGGGCTGCGTAAACGACAATGAATGAGGTACAAATTATGCTAAAAAGCAATATTCAAGTATTTTTTGGTTAAGATCTGTCGTCGTGGGAGTGAGGTGTTCAGCGGGAGATCGATATCAAAACAAATTTCCAATGTCCCTACCAGGGCTCCGTATCTGTGTGCCTCAGTGCGTGGAAACAAAATACGCTTCACAACATGTGTTGAAAATGTACAGGATTTGACTATTAAACTTGAGCGCATAAACAATCTGGACAAGATTGAACGTTTATTTTGTCAAGATTGTAATTATCTTGACGGGTTGACAACTTGCATCCTCTTATTTTATGCACTCTGTGAAATCTTGTCAGCATTAATAATGTCTGTTTTCAGAGTGCAATGATAAGTACGCGGGAAGAAAACACTCTTCAAATCAGTCAATTTGCTGATTTTCAAAGTAGGCTTTTTCAGGCATGAGCTGAAAGGTTTTGGCCTTGACGAAGATTATCGCAAAGTCGTCAAGAAATTCACGGGCGCATCTTTCCCTCTATACGCCGAATACGCTGTATTTTCTAAGACGAACATGCCTTGGGCTAAATCAATATAAAGAGAGGCCGGTTGGTAGGTAAGTGATGGAGAGGCAGAAATCCTGTCTCATTATCCGAGTGTTATGTGTTCACCTGAGATTGGCACTGCAGGCGCTATCAGTCAGGTACTCCAGATGCCATTATGTGGCCTGAGATGTCCTCGGGGCGATCGAGAATTAACTGGAATACCAATGAGACGATTTTATTTCTTTTTGGCCACAGTGCCAGAGTTGATCGTAGAGATCTTGGCCTGGGCTGTGATAATGTCAATGAGACACGGATTGTTTCAAACAAGGTTTCGATGCAAATATCTGAGGATGTGAATGCATTTACTGCGTTCGAGATGACAACAATCTTATGAGGACAAATTACCAGAAAATAAAAGAAATGATAACAGAATTCAAAGGTACGTGCTGCTAATATTGTATATGTTGGATTAAAAAAAAAAGAAGCATATTAAACCAAAACGTTTTTTGTTTTAAATGTAAATACTATCAGGTATCTTTTTGCCCAACACTGCAAAAACTGCGGTTCAAATTTAACACGGATGATATCTACATATGACCGGTGGTGTCACAATTCTAAAGCTATGGTCCTATAAACATACCACCTGTGCTATTAAATTAAACACCGCTGTTTTTGCAGTGAACCGAATCCTATTTCCCTAGTATCAACTTTCCAACTTCTTGTCGGGGAACTGTACATTTTTCAATACAATTCTGAGGAAAGTGTTCAAGTTAAACGAACGTATTTGGGAATTCCACGTGTACACATCATATATTGCACAAAGATATGACAGTGTTAGCTAAACAATTTCCCTAATTGCCAATTATCTTTTCGTAAACCCATCAATACGCAGGGGAGACAACATCGTCGATATTCGTCTACGGTGCGGCACACAGACAGCGATCAAGTATTCAGTATAGTTCGTGGTCGTCACAGCCAGAGGCACTGAGTCGGAATCTTTGCCCTTCTTCAAAATGTCACACAGAGCTTTTACCAAAGGTCGCTGATGTGAGCATGGTGGATGACATTTAACGACTGTTTACTTTATAGCGAGGCGTGACTGTTTAATGAAACTGCAATATACAGTTACTCTTAAGCACGACCGCTAGAGGGCGCTTTTGGGTACGTTAGCATTTAAGGAGACATGGATGCGCAGCATAAGCTTAAATTTACAAAACAAATACCGTTACTGTAATTTTAAAT